TTTAAGAGTTTTTAAGAGTTTTAGCCAAATGGTTTATAATATAGTATAGATATATATATATATATTCATACTTACTTTCGTGACTTGTCTTATTTAATTTCTATTGTATGATAAAATTTGTATAGTCATAATTACGTTTTAAAATATGCCATAATTCGTATAATTAATATTTTATATTTAAAATTAAAAAATAATAATTATATATGACAAAAAAATAAAATATATAATTTTAGATTGGATTGGAACACGGTTAAATGAAAAAAGAAATGAGATTGAGTTAGAGTTGAAGATTCTATAGGTGAATGAAATAGAATGTAATATTTTAGTTGGGATTGGGTTGAAAGAGACTCTGAGTAAACATAGTCTAATAAAGTAAAGATGTACATTTTAAGCAATTATTGACAATTTCAGTGGAATCGGTCACTATATGAACTAGTCAAAAAAAAAAAAAAAATCCGACCTAATTCGATAACTGGAACTAGCGAAAGGATTTAAGTCCATCTTCTATAACATCTGAATTTAAACCTGTTGTTTATTTAAGCAAAACTATTTTGCTATATTTTGAGTTTTGATTTTTGTTGAAATAGTATTTGATATCGAAAGCAAAGAAATTGGAGTTATACAACTCACAACTACTTGACACTGACATTGGAAGATCGACATAATTCAAAAGACCTCAATTCAATTACGGAACATGAATGATATTTATTGCCAGATAAGTGTCCTTTTATATATATTATAATGCTACTTGTATAATACAGTGAGATAAATTTCGATTTCAACATTTCATTTTTTTGGTCTCTTTTGATGTTATAATATGAATTCATGTAGTTTTAAGCAAGCAAAATGTTTTTCTTAATAAAATATAAATTTGAAGATATCATAAAAAATATATAGAAGTTCTTATTTTTTTTGTGTAATTAATTTAATTATAATTTTATTTATATAATTTTTATAAAGATAATAACTAAATATTTCTATTAGAACTCAATAAATATTCTAATTATATTTTAGATATATTTAAAATGAGAAATTTGTCTTGTGTTTGATTATATTTATCTACAGTTAGTTACACGAATTCCAATATGAACCTTAATAAGTTGTACTCTTGAATTTTAAGTAATATGCATAAATAAACAGTATTTCACGTATAAAAAATGGTTTTTTGAAGTTTTTGTCAAATGCATTATAATATAACTAGAAGGGTACTTGCACAGTATAGCGAGATACATCTTGGTTTTAATGTTTCGTCGATGTTATAATATAGTTTTATATGGTTTTGAGAAAACGATAATGTTTTTATTTTTGAATAAAATATAAATATGAAGATATCATAAGAAATTGATATTAATACCAAAATAACTATTCAAAATTTCTCCTTTTTTGTGTATTTCTTTAATTAATTATTTTTATTTTTTATTTAATAATATGATTTTTTATAAAGATAATAATTAAATATTTTGTTAGAATTAAATAATTATCGTAATTATATTTCAAATTTTTTATATTTAAAATGAGATGTTTATCATTTATTTGATTATGTTTATGTACACTTAATTATACAAATTCAAACATGAAGTTTTAACAAGTTATAATTACGCATAAATTACTTGTAATCTTGAATTTTAAGTAATATGTATCAATAAACAGTATTCATGCATAAAAAATATTTTTTAAAATTTTTTGTCAAATATTTTATAATATATATATACCAATTTGGATAAGCATCCTTTTATATCTACATAATCATTGTGGAGGCGGACCTAACATTGTATTATTTAGATTATATAATACTTTTCTAAGCTTATGCTTTTACATTTTAAAATTCAATCCCATTAAGTTGTTAACAACACAAACTTAACTCCTTCACCTTTCTTATTATTACTTTTATATCATTTTTACATACGATTATCAATCTATTATTATACAGTAAAAAACATCATATAATATATCTTTAATATTTATATTGATATCGTTTTAAGTTCTAATATTGACAATTTGGAGTAACACTCTACATAAACCAATATAATCAGTTGAGTTTCTATCTCACCTCATTGTTAATGTCTTTTATCAATATTTTAAACATTTTTGATTAAAACAATCGTTTTCAGAACTATCAATCTTAGAAACAAAAGTCTGTTGATCATAGTTTGAGATCTTATTCTTATTATAAAAATTAAAAAATACTTAAGATTTATACACTTAATATTAAATAACACATGCACAAATTACTAATACGAACCCATAACTATTTTAATAATTCCAAAAAATAAATAACTATAAAATAAACTCTTCTAAAAATGAATATTTTAATTAATTTTATTCTTAGTATATTTAATATTAAAATGTAATTTATATTTATGATTCAACGGTCAAAAGGATTTATGATTAGCATTCCGCCGCATAATACACGATGTCAGGTTTTTGACTTTAACTTGATTTTAGATATTTTAGATGATGCCATGTGTCAAGTTTTCCACCATTGCTTAAGGATAATGTTTCTGTCTGAATCGACTTATTTGCAGCATTATTAAAACCTATTTCAAATTGTTTAAATTGAAATTTGTTTTATGTGAAATTTTGAACTTTAAACTTTTCTTGTGTTAGTTTTAACACATATTAAATATGATAGAATCAATTTGTATCATTGTTGGATCATTGGATCGAATTAACACACACGATAGATCCAATCCCAACGGATCATCCGATGGATATCCAATAAAAATATTTAATGGATGGAACTTAACCGATCAAATAATCCAATTGGATTGAATTAGATCGGTTATCCAATGTTAATTAGATCAGATCGGTTGACAAAATTCAACATCCATTGAATGATTGGATCAGTTCGGTTCCCCTCTCATTGTCAACCGATGAACAGGACTAGAAATACCCTCATGCATTTCTTATCCAAATAACCTAAACAACTCGACGGATCTATATTATATTATAAAGCTTTTGACAAAAACTTTTAAAAACCATTTTTTATACACAAAGTACTTTTTATTCATGCATATTAATTAAAATTCAAAATTACAAGTAAATAATGCATAAGTACAACCTATTAAAGCTTAATGTTTGAATTTGTGTAACTAACTGCAGATAAACATAATCAAATACTGGATAAACATTTCATATTAAATATAAAAAATCTAAAATATAATTAAGATAATCACTGTATTATAATAGAATACTTAATTACTATTTTTATAAAAAATTATATTATTAAATCAAAAAATTACTTCGTTATTAAACCTAAATTAAATTATAATAAAAAAAATTGAATTAAAGAAATTATACAACAAAACAAAACTATTAAATAATTAATTTGACCCTAATATTGATATTTTTAAATTTATATTTTATTCAAAAATAAAAACATTATCGTTTTTTTCAAAACCACATAAAACAGTATTATAACATCAACGCAGAAGACAGAATAAAAAAAAAATTAAAATCGAGATTTATCTCGTTGCATTGCATGATTACTCGTGTCGTGTTATAAATTCTTATGATATTTAGAAAACTCCTCTAACCAAAGTGAAGAATCCACATAATAACACAAAGATTAAGAAATATCGGATCATATTCTTTCCAATTTCTTGCACAACGAGTTTTTATTTGCCACTCTAGACCTGTTCATCAAATTTAACGAATAGGCGTTTTGATGTACGCCATGTGAGTCGAGTTCCCAACTCTCGTCAACGTTTTCAGCTCATCAGCAATCCAGCACCTCGATCGATCTGTGTGATAGAAATACCCCAAACACTTGCAATCCTTCGTGCATTTGCTCTCGCAATCCTTCCGATTCACCGGACCCGTCCCTGAACTGTATTTCACCGTGAAATGGTCCACCCCTTTGAGCTCGTAGTATCGAAAACCACTCGCCTCACAACCCGGCAACTTCGCAACACAATCTTTGCTCCATGCAAAAACCCCGCTCGGCGATGGGCACCCAACGCATTGGCTGTCCTCGCAAAGCCCAAACTTCCCACACCGATCGGGCAATTGGCAGTCCGCTTCGATTTCCTCCCCCCTCTCACTCACCCCTCTATCGAACAAAGTGAATAACAGGCTCCACGCGCTTGTTACGGCATTTCGACGATAACTATACAGTCTTAGGTTCCCATCGATTCCCAACCGGAGATATGATAACGTGCTGTTGTAACTGAGTATGCCGAGATGTAGAAAAGGTACTGAATCGGAGTTGGAGAGACGACACCGGAGTGCGTTAAAGTTGCTATCAACATATTCAGATTCCCCAATTTCTAACGTTGCATTAACCAAATTTCCGTTGGCCTTGTTCACTTCGCCGAAGTATGCGGTAAAAGAGGAAGACCAGTAACGCATGGCCTTGTAATACAAAGCCAATCTTTTAGGCTCTAATACGAAACTATACACCCCGTTAACGTTTTCCGTCGTGGAAGCCCTGCTCACAAGCTTATTTGGACCTCCGATCCGAAGACTCTGGCCGAACAAGATGGTATCGGTTGGGGAATCAAAGCTTTGCCAGATGAAGTTACCGTTAGCGTCACGAAGCACGATGTTGCCATTTGTGAGTATGGCGAACCCAACCACACCTTTATTGGCGGTGTTGGTCTGCCATACAATCCGGCCGTCTGCATCGGCCAAGACCAGGTTTCCATCGGAACCGAAGGAGAAAGTCGCGTTTTCGCGAACCGGATTTCCCCGATTGGCTTCCCAGACCCAGCGCCTGCGGGATCTATCACGTCGTGTACCCATGCGTAGACTGAGAGTGTAGGCATTGGGGGTGGTGTTGTAGAAACACAGCACAAAAGGGGAAGTGAACGGAGGAAGAGCACGGTAGGTTGGGTCGTATTCGGTGTGGTACTCTACGGAATCTCCAAAATCGCCGGTGTTGACATATCGGAAAGTGTCAGAGGGAGGAACAGTGGCTTCGGAGATGAACAAGAGTGGAAAGAGGAAACCAAAGAAGATAAGGAAAAGAGAAGAAGAAGCAGTCGCCATGGTTAGTGGCAACTGTGTGTTATGATATTTTGTACTAAAAGTATACACATATTTATACAGGGTGTTTGAGGGCCCATTCATTGCGACCCTGGCCATGCGATGCAAGTGTCATGGCACAGGGGTCGCAACACCCCCAAACCATAACTTCCGGTACACCAAGTACGACTCTTGCCATGTTTCGCAAGGGTCATGGTATAAGGGTCGCATGACCTAAGCTACCAGTTATGGAATTTAGACGTACGAAACTAAATAACGAGCACAACCTTAAAAAGCTTAGACAAGATCTAATTATTTACATTATGAAAGTTCGGGTGTCACAGTGTGACTTATGTTTGCCTTTGAAATCCATTCCAATTTTCGACCAACTGTAAATCGCTTAGATCAATTCAATATCGAACGTCATAAAACTTATTTTAAACATGATTTTTTAGAAGCATAAGAAGTATGCGACTATGTAGAACCCTTAGATTACTCTCCGAAAGAGTCATTGCATAAATTGTTCCAAGTGTCGAGAGGAGAGAAGGCGAGTACAAAGTGTCGATTCCTTAGAAACGTGTAATTTGTTCTGATATCATATGATGATATGCAGAACCTTATTGGATTAAACTATTTAAAACAATCTTTGAAAATAAAAATTCATGATATATGAAACAAAAAGAATTTCAAAACAAGGAGTGTAAACGATACGAGACAACTCGTGAGCTATCGGAGATCGACTCGGTCAAAGTTTGGTCAACACTTGACTCAAATAGGCTTGGCTCAAACTCGAGCTCGACACGACATATTAACGAGTCGAGTCAAACTACCCAATACTCGATTTGAAAAGCTCGTGAGATACCCGATTATTTTATATATAATTAGTTTTAAAATATAATCAATTTTTATGATAAAATTTGTAAAATATAAATAAATAAAAATGTCTTATATTTCTAGATATGTTAGTCAAAATTATGCATTTTTTAATTATAAAAATCAATCAATTTTTTTTTTATTATTAAAATCCTAATTAAAAAAAGACAAAGAAAAACTAAAAAAAGTAAGTGAAATTATCCCATACCAGAAGAAAGATGGTAAAATAAGAGGAAAAATATGTTATAAAAAGAGAAGAAGATTAATGAAATTTCTAAATTTTGTCATTTTGGTAATAAAGTTTGAAGTTGATCCCTTTAGTTTTATAAATACTAAGAGAACACCATTAAGTTTAAAATTATAAAAGAAAGATCCGAAAATTTCATAAATTTCAATGAGTGGGCTTGGTTCGAGCTTGAATTCAAGCTATATTTGAGTTGCAGTTCGAGCTTGATTCGAACTCGAATTCGAATTTGAGAATTAGTTATCAAGTTCGAGTTGAACTTTGATTTTTACGACTCGTAAATCACAAGTCTTCGGGTCGAATTTGAACTTGAAAATTGGGTTTTAAATTCGAATTAAATATAATAATATGGATCAAATATAATAATACTCGAGTTCGCCTCATATTATTTATTTTTCTAATAGGAAAATTAAGTTAAAAGAAAAATCTATTTCCCTGTCGTTGTCCCCACCTGTTTATTATTTTTGTTTTTTTGTAATAATATACCTCTTCTTATCTTCATTTAATATTTATTAGTATTAATGCGCCGCATATGAGCCACGTCATGTCCATACTAATTCGAATTTAGACATAAATATGATGTCACGTGTCAACTTGTCCACCATCTGCTAAAAATATTTTTTTAAATAGATCATATTTATACACGACAAATGCAACAAATAAATTCACACACTCTTCTTATTTTTGATGAGATCTAAACCCCTAACATCTTAGGAAGTCAAATATTATGATACTGTTAGGTCAAAGACCTTTTGATTGGCTAAAGATATTATTTACAATATTTGGTATGATATCAAGTTTTGTTCTCGATACATATAATCTACCAATCAATAGAAAAATTAATATGTTTGACATTTCTACCTTATGCGATTTCCAATATCCTATACCAATCAAGTTTGTATAGTACAAACTTATTGTAACTGGTACCGTTACGACACAAATTAACTGGTATGGTTTACTATAAACCAGACGCACTTAATAAACTTATTAGACAACGAGAATGCATTGACGAACTTGTCGTGTCTTTTATATGAGTCGATCACATGCCTTGGAGAGTTATTATTAAAGACATATCCCATTACACCCTAGACTGGTCGAGTTACACAATTTTTTATCTGCTTATATAATATAATCTTCTATACTATCTGGTCTGGTCTTGATTCGCTGTAGTAAACCCTGTATATTTATAAGTGTAGGACAAGTGACAGAAAATCTGTCAGGTATTCTCGGCATATAATGTAATATACTTTGGCATATATGCGATTTAGATAAAAGAGTAAACAATGTTTTTGGTCCACTAGGTTTGTTGAAAATTTCTATTTTTGTCCTTTTGCTTCATAAATTACAGTTTTCGTCCTTATGGTTTATAATTTGTTGCTTTTCTTTGGGTTCATATGGATTTTACAATTCAGTGTTGTTTTAGTCATCATATTAACAGTAAATTCCTAATAAAGTTAACTTCAAAGATAAAAAAACAAATGAATTGCAAATAACAGGGACGAAAACATAACTTGTAACGGAAGTTAAAAGTCATATTACCCATTTGTCCGGTTAGGTTGTCCAAAATCAACCAGACGTCTAAAAGACCATCTTGTTATACTGTTATCAAATAAGTTGTGGTTATAATAAAATGTTACTTTAGTGACGGGTTAACATATGAACCTGTTTGCCGTCTATTTGTAAAAGTTAAGAAACTATTTCCTCTATTTTTCACATAGTCGCAAATTTTGACCAGTCAAAGCCGCAATTATTGACTCGTTAAAGCTACAATTTTTGACCAGTCAAGTCCGATCTTGACCGTATGAAGAGTTAGGATCAATTCTTTACTTCTCAAATATTTACCTCTTTTTAAAATAACCTATGGCTATATATACACAAATGTAGTTCTAGCATGAACAATTTTCATTGTGGGCTCTAAAAACTATGATACATATCCTACCATTCGTCATAAATGATCGGAACATCTATTAAGGAACGATACCTTGGATCAGTAGTGTTTCTCGGTTGAGAGATAATAGGATCGATTTAGATTTCGCTACTGACAAACATTGGATCCATTTAAGTTTCCGATTGAGAGTGACCCGAGCGTGACCTGAGGGGAACAATTAAGAGGAGTGATATGATTCGATCGAGTGATAGTAATAGAGCGATTGATTTTGGAGTTCCGTTGACAGGATTCGTTGAAAAGAAAGATGGATTAAAATAAGAGGTAAAAAAATCCCTCCATAGATTCATTTGAACTCAATAATGAAAAGCGTATTTTTTTAACATTACATTATATTATTGTATAAATAAATAACTTGTATATAAAAACAAGTAATTATTGTTAAGAGAAATTAAAATATAAATAAAGTTAGTATAATTAATATTTTATAATAATAAAAATATATAATTGGAAATAAAAATAATTGAAACAACATGTAAAGAGAGTCAAAAGACATCAATAAACAAAAGTGATAATTGGTTGCCACATACGACTCGGTGCAACTCCAATCATTAGATTTTCACATACACTTTAAAAGGTTTAAGGGGTTATTTATCGGTTGTTGAATGATTTAGTGTAAAATAATTAAATAGTTAGAATGATTAAGAAAATTATGATGTTATAATATAAAATAAGATATAATTGTTTACAATAAAATTAGGATGCTGAATGGTTAAAGGAGTATCAAGATACAAAATTATTCAGATAGTTTTATAACCATTAAAAGATAGATTTTTTTTATCAAACAAGATTTATTTCTTAATAATTAAGAGACTGTTTCTTAATAAACATTTAAAAAAACTTATTAGGTAGGTTATAAGGGGTAGTTTAGTCTTTTTATTATTATTTTTTAAAAGAAATTGAAAATAAAACCCTCCCTTCAAACCTCCGGTCTCTTTCTCTCACGCACAAAAACCGAGGCGACCCTATCCCCACGACATCTCCGGCGTTCCACGATTTCTGACCTTCACACATGACATCTTCGAGCTCCATCGACCGGACACGGCTCTGTGGTCTCTTCCAAACCAAAACTACCCTCTCTCTCCCCTTCCCTCATGGGTGAACTCCATCCCTAACCCTCTTCTCCGATGAACATCCACTCCGATTAATATAATACCGTTCTAGGTTTTGTTTGAAGCAAATGCATAAACAAAGGTGATGGTAGATGGTGGTGGGACATATTGAAAATAGTCGTATGTGTGCCCGGTTGCTTGGTTTATTTATTTTCCTTCCTTTGTTCAGTGTGATCGACGTATACAGTACCTTGCAAGGTGGTTGGATGCAAGGTGGTGGCACTGTTGTTTTTAATATCAGGTGGTGGTGGTGGTGGTTGGCTGCTCCGGCGAACACAGCCACAACTACCTTTAGAGAGAGAAAGGATGCCTGAAAACAGAGGCCACCGGAGATAATTTGAGATTCTTGATTTCTCGGCAGCACTTTATTAGGTTTATTCGACTTAATTTAGGTTCTTTTTTATTTAAAAAATACATCAAGCTTATCCAAAGACCACCAAATGATGACATGGAATTCATTATTTAATAATAAACACAGAAAAGGAACAAAATAAGTGCATTTCTTCAACAACAACAAAAAAAAAAAAAGCTTCCTTATTCTCGGTATTTATGACCCAATTATCGGATGGGCGTTTTGATGTACGCCATATGACTCGACTCCCCAACTCTCGTCAACGTTTTCAGCTCGTAAGCGATCCAACATCTCGATCGATCCGTGTGATAGAAATACCCCAAGCACTTGCAGTCCTTCGTGCATTTGCTCTCACAATCGCTCCGCTTCACCGGACCCGTCCCCGCACTGTATTTCACCGTAAAATGGTCCACCCCTTTGAGCTCGTAGTATCTAAAACCACTCGCATCACATCCCGGCACCTTTGCAGCACAATCTTTGCTCCACGCAACAACCCCATTCGGTGTCGGGCATCCAACGCATTGGCTGTCCTCACACAGCCCAAAATTCCCACACCGATTGGGTAGTTGGCACTCGTCTTCGATATTCTCCCCTCTTTCGCTCGACCCTCTGTTGAACCAAGTGAACAACAGACTCCACGCAGCTGCATTGGTATTTTGACGATAACTATACAGTCTTAGGTTCCCATCGATACCCAACCGGAGATACGACAACGTGCTGTTGTATCTCAGTATATCCAGAAGTAGAGTAGGTGCACCGTTGTTCGACAGACGACAACGGAGCGCGTTAAAATTGCTGTCACTGTATTCAGCTTCCGCAATTTCTAACGTTGCATTAACCAAATTCCCGTTGACCTTGTTCACTTCAGTGAAGGTGGATGACCAATAACGCATGGTCTTGTAATACAAAGCCAATCTTTTAGGCTCTAATACGAAACTATACACCCCGTTAACGTTTTCCGTCGTGGAAGCTCTGCTCACGAGCTTATTAGGACCTCCGATCTGGAGACTTTGGCCGAACAAGATGGTATCTGTTGGAGAATCAAAGCTCTGCCAGATGAAGTTACCTTTAGCATCACGAAGCACCATGTTACCATTTGAGAGTATGGCGAACCCAACCACACCTTTGTTTGCGGTGTTGGTCTGCCATGCAATCCGGCCATCAGCATCGGCCAAGACCATGTTTCCGTCGGAGCCAAAGGAGAAAGTGGCGTTTTCACGAACGGGATTTCCACGGTTGGCTTCCCAGACCCAACGCTTGAGGGATCTATCACGTCTGAGACCCATGCGTAGACCAAGAGTGTAGGCATTGGGGGTGTTGTTGTAGAAACAGAGCTGAAAAGGGGTGGTGAACGGTGGAAGAGGACGGTATGTTGGGTCGTATTCGGTCTGGGTTTCTTCAGAATCTCCGTAAGCGCCGGAGTTGACGTATCGGAAGGTGTCGGAGGGAGGAACGGTGGCGTGGGAGATGAACAAGAGTGGAAAGAGGAAGAAGAAGAAGATGAGGAAAAGAGAAGAAGAAGCCATGGTTAGTGGTAATGGTGTGTTATGATACTTTGTAACAGAAGTGTACACATATTTATATAGACTAAATGGATCGTAAATCGAGAAAGTTGGTGTTGTTTTGAAAAAAAAAAGTCTTTAATGTTTCGTTCTGGTTTTAAAATCTTCTGAATGATTTTGTATCTTTTAATTATTCAACACTTTAATTTTATTCTAAATAATTATCAAACAATTATATTTCATTTTATACTATATTATAAAAGTCTTTTTTTATCACTAAATCATCATATACCAAACTATTCAACAGCTGCTTAAACTGCCATAAATGATTTCGAGAACTAATAACAATTTTTTAAGATCATGTGGACTTACTAAATACGATTCCTAATAATAAAGAGGATTATTTAATTAATTGCTTAATTTTAAAATATGCGGACATAACTCATTTAAACAAAGAAAGAATCAAATAATTTGAAAACCATGTTACTTTATATTAATTAAGATTATTTTTAATATACATTTTTTATGCTTAATTCATATACGATGTGATCCGTGATTTTTTACGGGTTTCTTTAAATTTTTTGACTTTCGTGTTTTTCATTTAATGATCGTTCGGTTTGTTTTCTATTAAGACTTGTATGAATAAAACTGTGTGTATTGATAAACTTGTCTATATGTTAGCTTATAAGTTGGTCGATTGTTATACTGAATAAACAGTTTAAATATCATAAATGATCATTTTATTCCCGTCTTTATTTTGGTCTAAATAAAACAATTGTTTGATAAAATGTTGAACAGATAACTTTGTAATTATAAAAAAATATCAATTTAAACGATTTTTTATATAAAAACAACTTGATCTAATATAATAATAACTATCAAATCAAGGAGACGAAACTTAAAGATAATTGAGAAACATCTCCACACTTAAATCAGCATTTGATAGATTATCCAACCAATATTGAAAAATATCATTGACCATTGACCATTGAACATTATACAAATCCACAACATGGAAAGATACCATTGAAACAATATCCATGGAAACAGAAAACCATGAGCAAAAAATAAAGAGTGTATTATATTGGTGAACCCTTTGGTTGTCTTAAAATCTGGATTTGATCTCTAAAACAAATTACTTACATTTATAGTCCCTAATTTCTCAATTTTATAACATTCAAGGTTTCTGAAGTTAATGTTGTTAGTTAGCCATGTTATGAGGGATTGATTAATCTTTGAGAAAACTACAAAGACTGCTACCGAAAACACCATCGGATTTCAATGTAGTCGTCAATCCCTAAAACGGAATATGTAATGATATGCAATGTACTTTATCTACTAGGTTACAGGCGGTCATTAAAATATCTAATTAAAAACCTTTATATTTATTTTCAGAAACTATTAAATTGGCATATTGATATTTGCATTGTAAATTCTCAAGTTTAGAAAATAGATAGAATTTCATGTATCTTCGGACTTGAACTTTTAAATATAGAAATTAAGTACGATTAATTTGAGATAATTATATATTAAATTTATTTGTTAGGATAAATAATTTTTATGTTATGAGAAAGATAATCATGTCTCAAAAATTAAAAGATTGTGATACATTATTAAATTGAATTATCTGATAATTTTAAATAAACTACAATAATTAAATTGATATAATAATCAAAACGTTGTTAAATGTATTTCATATGGTTTTTGGAATGTGCAGAAAAAAAAATGTACTGCAACTTTCTATATTTTTAAATAACAAACGTTTTTTTCTATGATTGGACATAGAATTACGGGCTCTTTACAGTTGCTGAATGGTTTGATTAATTTTCTTTGACATTTGGTTAATGGTTTGGTTCAGAATGATTAATTGGTCAGAATAATTAAGAGGAGAAATAAAGGAGAAAGATCGACATAGTTATGATATGGTTTTTTCTAGTTGAGGAGAAGGGTAGTCGGAGGAAATTTAATGGTTGAGTGTAAACGACATGAGATTTTTAGCTGAATGATTCAGCCATTTACTGAGCAAATAACCGCAACCGAACAACTATTTATGGATGTACAAATAAGCTATATCCATTATACAACACATTAAGTTCCTACCAAACAACCCTTGTAATGTCCATCAAATCACATACAAAAGAATACGATGATCAAATGTTAACACAAACGATTCGAGTTTCTTTTAGATAAAGCAAAAATGCTACTTATACTCGCAAACTAAAAACGTTAGCACCACCCGTGAAAGTCCGCCACCTCTCCAGATAGATTTTGTTTTTCTACGTAAAACAAAGATTTTTGTCCGTTGAGCAGTACAGTGAGTCAGACTGCAATCATCGAGCCATCAAGATCTCGAGTGTGCCTGATGGGGATCAAAGTTTTGCCATATGAAACACCCATCCCCTGCAAATTTTCAAGAAGGAACTCCAAAGTTATGCCATTTTACAGCTATTCCAAATGTTCGAATTCATAGCGCTCAACAAGGTTCACACTCGGCTACGCTCCTACCAACTTTGATGAAAATAGCATGGCATATTCTCGTTCATATATATACATCACGGCTCCCCGAAAGTAAAACATGCCCTATAACTCAAATTCGATAAATGCAACAAAAAAGGGTTTAAACATAAGACAAGAATATTAATGTACCATCATTCGCATGCAAGCTTTGTTCCGAAACTAGTGAGGCAAATGGCAAATGCGTGAAAGGCCGACAACGGCTGACGGAAGTCCATGGTGAACACATCGTCACCAACCTTTCCGAACTGGAGCAGCACCGTTTCTCCATCACCTTTCCCTCCTGGCTGGCTTTGATCCAGTGTCGCCACTAACTGAAAGTTCTTCACGGATGCTACAGTCACCCGACCGTGAAAATTCAAGCACCAACACTGCAAGTGTTCATGCCACCTTGGAGCTTTGTTCCTCAAAAGCGTTTGACTTTGACCACACCCAACAGATTCCGACCTTCTTAACACCGCTTCTTCTTGGGGTTGGTTATCTCCGGTGGATGTGCACCTTAACGAACATACCATTCTTCTTGGACCCCTTGATTTCAAGAGGTTGAACTTGTATGATACCTCTCCAATCTCAAAATTTCCAGCCGGAACTTGGGGGCTTATTTGTTTGCTTGCAAAACGCCGCCCAGATCTGCTGCTCGAGGGCTTTGCTCCATTGTGTGGGGGCTGGCTATCGTATATTGTGAACTTAGTGCCAAGAAAATCTGACCTGCAAATTGATGTCACGCAAATAAATTATCACCAGAAAAAGAAGGTAAATCCTATTCACTAGCCAACTTTGACATGGCATATACATTTGCCATGTCAGCAATATATTACATGTGAATAATGACATGACATATAAACATGCCAGGTTGGGTCATGTCATCTGAATTCAAATCAATAGGTCAAGGATAGATTTTTCGGAAGTACAAAGCCTTAATAAAAAATAATCTAAAAGTGCAATGTTGTGATAAGAAGAAATGAAAGTACAATGCTATAATAAACAAATTATGGAAAGTACATTGCTATTTCTTGCATTTAGCCCATCTTTTTACTACATTCCCTTCATGCAAGACCACTTTTTCATGATTTTTCTAATTGAGCTTTTGTCTGTGTTGTGGGGGAGAGAATGCAGGATGCTTGTAATTGTAAATTATCTCATCTAGAAAAGGCGATGTATAAATCCTAAGACTTCAATTGCAAACAAGATTTATCAGTACGGCGATACCGACGAAGGAAAGCGGTATGTATAGGCGTAGCAGTATCTTCATGATTCTTGGGCATCTAAAAGTAATGTACAGCCAGATAGAAACAGTACTAAATACTAGACTGGGTATGCTTCACTGCAATTTGGAAAAAATAACTGGGTAGATTGCTTGCACTTGGAAAGAGAAGGTACAATATGAATGAAACATGATCATGCTTTCTCGTCAATTGAATGACTCACCGTAATTTCCCAACATACGCATTGCTTCCTTGAGATGAATCATCTGGATCAAGTGAAATTAAGTACTCTGTATGAGCACCATGTCTATATCTCCGTGCTGCCAAGAGAAACTTGCCCTTGTTTGTAGATGCTGCCAAAAACAGAATCCAAATTATTAACACTTCAATTAGAAGTTACCAAGAATATCACTATCTAGCTATATATCATCCTGAACAGGAAGCCTAATAGCCTGACAGGCTTATGTTTATCACATTGTGCCGGTCCAAACAATGAATCTTAATGCACAGGCTCGTAATTATTCTCTCTGAACTCTGGGTGCCACAAAACAACTTGAATACCTCCCAAAAGTAGAAGCTGGAACCTTTTCTATTGCCACCATGAAAATCTGAATGTATTGTTTAGACTTGCGACTTTTAAACCTATATCCAGTACCCAATATGAAGCATTAGCATTCACAACACCCACATTTACTTTTACGTCATTTGGCTTCTCTATACTTGGCCCTCATACAAGAGAAATGAAACTTGGGAGGTGATCTAAAAGCAAGATTGTTCAAGGAACGTGAATAAAAGACGATGAAAGTAAAATTCCTCTAGAAAATCTCATTCCAACATCAGAAAGGAGGTTGTTCGAAAAAACTGCCATACAAAAAAGGTTTTCATGTTGATGGCCTATGTTTAAGGAATACCCGGTTTAAGAAAAGGTGAACAAACTTGTATTCAAATTTGGAAGAAGAATCATGCTTCTATTTTGTAATTATGGTATAAATCCTATGTGAAATTTGATAGGCACACTGGCTCGATTAGCTTCACCTATCTCACTAGAGGTTACAGTGCCTCCCTCAATTTTGAAACGACAACGATGGAAGCTAATGACAGTTCCACCACGTGGACATGACATTCTGTGTTTGTGACTGAGAAAAATAAAGAGCCTGCTGTTTAGACAGAAATTACAAAACGCAACAACGAACATGAATCATCACTTTACACCACAGTAGATCGGGTTTTTCTCCTCTTTCTACTCATATGGCGCCCTTATCTGAGACTTCAAACTAAATATCATAGGACATTTGCGCTTTTGGTGAAGTCCTTTGTTCCCTTCTTATATGTTCAGCCATTACGGCGCTGATGATTCAATGATCAGATAATGCATTGACGAATTTCAGAGTAGGCAAGTGGTTACCATCTTAAAAGAAACATGCCATTTTGTACAAAGTCAAGGGTACTATTGTTGTTTCTTTTAACTTTACATCTTATATATTATCTACTAGGTCTAGAATTCCAAGGAGTATCATGGGGTGTCTACAATATTGTTTCGCAAACTCAAATGAAGTATAAGCCATCTACCTTTCAGTCCCAATCTCTTCCACCACTAGAAATTACTTGGTCAAACCATGAAACTTAGAAGGGTCTCACCTTCTTGCATCTCTGAATCTACACATATATCATTCATTATGTTTAAGCATACTTACATGGGCTAGCAGCAAGATAAAGGTAAAACACTGAGTTCTTGCTTCTTTTAATAACGCATTGAATTGGAGAATCACGTGAGCCAGGCTGCAATGACAATGGAATTCATTAGACAATCAAGCATCCACCACAAGACTCTTGGCTTGTTCATCCATTAACAAACATTGAAAATGTTCTAAGTGCCTATTAAAACGTTATACTGACAAAGGACTTATATCCATCCTCTTCTAACACACTCAAAATCTCTTGGTCTAGGAACCCAAATCAACACAGTCGGATAGGAAGACATGTAAAGCATCATATGTGTGTATGGTTCATTCTGCCATTCCAATCATAAATAGCATCAATCACTGAGAAGTTCATAGGTGTTCTTCAAAGAAGCTGATCCCTATTTATCCTTGGAATGCACAGTTTTTAATTAAAAATCTTGCAGTTCTTGATTATTGATTGTGTATCTATGGTTCTGAAGATTGTGCGAAATCAGGCGTGCCCGTAAGAAAATTTGGTTATTTCCTCTACGAAAACTTAAGACTAACATTTTGCAAAAATTACATATAAAGCATCTTCCCATATATCTTCCCCAACTTAGGGTACCATATTTTCAAAGACGAGCTACACAATATTCTAAATGAGCAACGAGATTATTCGATAAAACTTCAAAATAAGTCATGTTGGTGATTTTAGTGTCATCAATCATTTTAGTGTGATTATGATTTACGTGAGATTGATTAGGTGATAAGGCAAAACACAAGTGAGTTGGAGGTACGGAGTGCACACTTATAAATGTTGTCTTCATTACCTTATATCGCCAAAAGGCGGGGTTAAGGGGGTCGTGCCCCCTAGCAGGGTCCAAGGGGGATGCGGTGGTCCCGCTAGATGGAAACCTTCTTGAGATTGTTCCCGGAATTGGTGGAAGTTGACTATGTATGTACAGAGATAGTGTAATCAAAGCTCTGGACTGTGTCTCGTAGCTCTGGTCCGAGTAACCAGAGCCTCTGGTCTATGGGTCAGGGGTATCTCTGATCTGTATGACAAGAGCTCTGGACCTCTTCTAACGTTGCCTCTGACTTTGGACAGTCATAACTGCTGTCAAATCTCCATTAACGGTTATAAACAAAAATCTGGCTGTATATAAGAACTTAATTTACAGCCTTTAAGATTAGAGTTTCTTTTTGGATTATCCCAATACGAAATTAATGATATCCAAGACATCAAGGGACGAATTATTGTATTTGGAAAGTAAACTTTTATGATCCAATCGAGATTATTAAGTCCAATCCCCAATTCCTAACACTAGTCAACATTGTCAACCATGAACAGAGGTGAGCATCTATCAAACTGCTCTAATCATTTCCACAGGACAATTTTGACTTCATCGAGTTTTGACTTCTTTTGCAGTTGTGTGTGATAAAAAACTTCCCCTTTACACAGCCAGATAATCCTCTCACATAAGAAAATAACTTAAAAGTATTCCTACAAGGCTACAAGCAAAATAGGGAAAAACAAATTGGCGAGTAATTTACTCAAGTCTCTATGGAATCAACGACATAAAAATCTTCCGACAACAAATTAAAAGCACATACAAACGAAATCGTACCTGCTTAAGGCAAGAAGGGAAGGTTATCTTCCCACCGCGAACTGGAGGCTTTACGATCTCTCTCGTAACCTCTCTCCACCTTTTACACACGCATCCACAAGCGACCAGGTTTCGTCGGAGAGGCCACCGGTCATCGCTCGCTTCCACTCTCTTGATTATCTCTCCTAGAATCTCCGGTAACATATTAGACCAAGAACCTCCTCCATTCTCCCCACCGTCCGGTCCACCAAAGACGTCGTTGTTTCCACAAAAAGCAGCATTAGCAATGCTGATTTCTGACGGTATTGATGGTGTTCTCAATTCTTTAAGCGAATTGGATCGGCCGCTGGTTCGTCGTGATAGGAACGACCTTCGCAATGACATCGTGTAGAGAGAGAAAAGGTTGATGAGAGAGAAGGAGGGGAACCAGAAGAAGGAGGAGACGAAGAAGAAGAAACGATGAGTGGTGCGGCTTGTGCTTACGTGTCCGTCAGCAGATCGATTTTGACGCAAACGCTTTTATTTATTTATTATTATTATATTTTTATTATTTATTCCCCATAAAATATACCCCATATGTCCCAAAAAGAAATATATATATTTAGGGGGTGTTTGGGATTGCTTATTTTATCTGCTTATTGACTTATTTCAGTCTGACACCGGTGATAAGCTAACACCTAGTGTTTGGATAAGAAAAAAGAGAACTGCTTATACCGGTGCCAAACCGGTAATAAGCAGTTTTTGATAAGTTAATCCGTCTTGACTTATGAAAAACTGCTTATTACCAGTTTACCATTTTAACCCTATTACCCATTATACCTATCTTTTTTCCTCCAGATAACATCGATCTCAATCTTCTCCCTTCTCCATATAACAACATCAATCTTCTCTCTGTCCTTTTTGGTCATTTTACAGATATAAACAAAATTTGTCAAACACTAAAAAACAACTTATCAGCTTATTGCAGTTTGGTACCGCTGTAAGCTAATCCAAACACTTTTTACAAAACTCCAGTTTGATACCACATAAGTTAATAAACACTTTTACAAAAAAACATAAGTTGTTTTAAATAAGCAATCCCAAACACCCCCTTATATTACTATTTTTTTTAATTTAAGGATTGTTTGTTTATCTTTTAATAATTTCATTAATAGGTGAATCTTGTTTGACAAAAAAAAATCTATCTTTTAATGGTTTTAAAATCTTTTGAATGATTTTTGCAACTTGGGCCTCCTTTAACCATTCAGCGTCCTAATTCATTGTAAACAATTATATTGCATTTTGCACTATATAATGAGAGTATCTTAATCAATTTGATGACTTAATCATTCAGCACCAAACCATTCAGCAACTACGAAACAACCCCAATTCGTGTGGTTCATAAAGTTCGATAAAAATAATTGTTAGGAATCGACAAGTATGAAGGAACTTGAGACCAAAAGGTGTGTTATGAAAAGGAAAGCCATAACTATAGGATGATGAAACGGTGAAAGAGGTCACAGTATGAGTTTATAACAACAGTGCGATAAACTAAACATAAACTCTATCCATCCTAATTTTTTGAAAACCTGTCTATCGATTCTCCAACCCTCCGTTATCTAATCATGCCTTCTAACCGATCAATATACTTTCTCCTGCCAGTCATGTTATCTACATGTTCCTAAACTTAGTCTGGTTTTCTACTCACGCGTCTTCAGTAGACTGTTTCTCGAAAATGCCTAAGGTTGTCATATATAACCTCAGATGTTCATACCACATTCTTTTCAGTCTCCAGACCTTCTCCTTAACCCCCCCCCCCCTTGACTATCATGTTTTCTACCCTCGTCATTGGTATTGACATTTGTATCCTGTGAACTTGTCCAAACCGTTGCAATCTTCCGAACTCTCAGTTTTTTAGCGATAGATTGAACTCCAACTTTACCTAAAAGACTTCATTCGAGATTATGTCCAACATGGTTTGACTAACAAGCTCATATGAGCATCCTCGTTTTTTGCTACTTTCAACTTCCTCAAATGGGCCTTTTTTGTCGCTCTAACCTCTCCTCCATCTGTATCTTCAACTTTGTTACCAGCACAATATCATCAATGAATAATATGCACATTGTTTTTATAGCTGCTTACAGAAACTGAATATTTCTATAACAATAAAATTTCAAAACCATATGGTTTCGTTAAAAAAATATTTTAAGCTAAATGAACTATAAAAAACAAATTGAAAATGTGTCAATATTTATTACAGTTTACCCCACATTTTAATTATTCGTCTAAAAATTTATCTACGTGATAATTATTATAATTTATGATATTTTAACCTCTGTATGTAGTCCATATCAGATTTACACAATTACCGTCCTTGGAAGGCCAGTCCAAGCTAACTCAAACAAAAATGAGTCCTTTTAACTATATCCTTTATACATAATCCATATAAGAGACTCACAATTATTGGTCCTTAGATGCTCGATCCAAATTAGCTCAAATAAAGACCATTCATTTTAACGAGTGATATATCTTTAATCGGCCCTCGACTTAAAATATGGGCCCGATCAATTTGGTTCTATTTATTCTGTTCTTTTTTTGTATTCGTTGATTTGAATTATTTGTTAAGTATAAAAAGATAAAACTCTTTAAAAATAAAAAATCATTATATATTCGAATCTTTAATCCTTTATTTTTTTTTCCAGTTATTTGATATGCTAAATGCAATCTTCGATGGAATCACGACAGTATATTCTCTCGTACAGTTCAATACAGATATCAATCCATATTATATATCGGGTCTGTTTGTTAACATCAAAATCAGTATGAATATGAAATGTGAACTTTGATAAAAATGTTTTTGTATACTTATACCAGCAGTCTGTATTCTTTATGAAGACAAACCATGACATTTTTTAGAACTACAAATTAAACATTTGGAAAACCCGTCACATAACCCAAAAACAATATTTTAACAATTGTTTATGTTAAAGACGCTTACAAACTCCCCCCCCCCCTCCCTCCCCCTTTATCGAATTAGAAATGCATGAAAGCTGAAAGAGGAGACAGAAAAAGCACTTCCATAAAGGATGCAGGGACGGACCTATGAGATGTTAAGCGGGGTCCCATGCACACGCTTAATCAATTTTCTCAAGTAAAAAAATTGGGTGTGAAAGGTGCACCTGCTAAATTTAGAGAGATGCACCAAAATATTATAAAATACAAGGAACATCAATCAAGACACTTGAAAAATCTCTTGAAATCATATGAAAAACCTAAAAGAATCCCTCGAAATGGGGGAATTTGATTAAAAACACATTGGACGACTTTGCTAACAAGTAATCCACCTTTAAGGTGCATCCACTCGGCAAAAATCTTGGATCCGCCACTAAAATGATGTGTTAGAGAACTGATATTGAAATATCGTTTTACAAAATATATAATACAAAAAGAGAACGCAAATTCATACTTATTTTATTCTTTTACTTAAATCAAACAACCACTAATTTTGATTAAAAGATTAAAAGACTCGTTTATTTGTTATTTATATAAATAAATAAAATAAATATTTCTTAAATCAATAAAAAGATTCCTTTTTTATTTAAATAGGTTTTGGTTTGATGTGTGCGCAAATTTAAATATGAACCAATTAATTAATAATCTTTTATATTAATTGGAATTTAGGTTATATAACTCCATGTATCTTTAAAAATAATTATTAAATCTTCATGTTTTTTTTAAACAATATTCATTGTACAACATCAATAGTTAATGTGGGTTGGGTTCACGTGAGACCAAAGATTTTTCGTGAGACCCGTAAGACCAATTTATGTTTATTGATCAACTTTATAAGCTAATAATCTAATGGTCTAAAGTTGTACGGTGACAATTTTGTAATTATTGAGAAGTCTCATAAAATTTTTGTGATTATGAATGTTCAAATTGTAGATATAATCCAAAGGTTGAATATTGATCTTACGGATCTCACGAAAAACCTTTAGTCTCACATGATACTAAATCTAGTTAATTTACATTTAAAACTCCGAAGTAAACCATAAAATAATGCATTTTGATCCTTCCATGTGTGCTAATATTTTTATTGTCGGAGTTGAATTAAATTTGCTTTATCGAATTAAATTATCGTTAATATTTTTTGAAGTTAGGGGTATTTAACTATAACATTATTAGGGGTATTTTATACAACGCAACTGATTATTAACTCATAAGAGGTAATGAACCATTCCTCTGCAAATTAGGGGGAAGGGGAATATATTTCCCGATTTGCCCTCCCACCTCCATAAAATTTAACAATATTATTTATTTAACGAGTAAGATTTTAGTTCACCAAAATGACATTGTATGCAATAAATTAACCCTCGTAAGCGCTAACTGTGGTAAGAGTCGTTGCCCTCACTTACCGGGTAAGACCCATGGTCTTTGTTTTGCTCTTACCGGGTAAGATTCTTGGTCCTTACCATATTCATCGGGTGAGGTTGTGTGACTTGATAAGCGTTTACCCGGATAAACGTTTGGTAAACAGCTCCTAAGTCTCACAAAAGAATTGCTAATGATAATTGCCTAAAACAAAAATAGAAACACAAACTTTGTAAGTGCCTTTAAAAAACTTACAGTTTAATGTAAAGATGAAAAGTGTTGTTTTTGATAAACCACACAAAACTTTCTGAACCATCGCCGATCGCCGCTGTTCTAAACCACCACCAACAACCGTCGATCTGAACCTGCCGCTGCCAACCACCGTCAACCACCACCAATTTGAACAACCGGCGACCACCAGCAATCAGAACCACTGCGACCACCACCAATTTGAACCACCGGCGAGCACCACCCTAATTGAACCACCGTCGACCACCACCAATCTGAACCGTCGTCGACCACCACCGTTTTGAACCACCACCGACGACCAATGATCTGAACCACCGCCAACCACCACTAATCTAAACCACTGTTGTTCTAAACCACCACCGACTACCACCAGTCTGAACCATAATAATTGGATTTCGGTTTCAAAATTTTCAAAAAAAAAAGTATTTTAGTCATTTTACGAATATTTCATTCAAATTTCAAAACTACATTATGTAAACCAACAGACATATTCCAATTCATTTAATAAATTTCATTCTAATATCTATCAACCAAATAAATAATCAAATCTGATAACATTTCATTCTAATTTCTTCAAAATCAAATCAGTTTAACAAATTTCATTTAGCGAGGCTTTGAATACCAAATTGATACATGGTTGGTTCTGACGCACAAAAAAAGATTGGGGACCAAGTTTCAGCATTTCAATTTTCAGATATGTTTTGGGGTTTTTAATATTAAATATATTTTATTACTTGCTTTAATAGTTTTCTCATTAAAATTATTGTTTGATATAATATTTTTGCATGTAAATCTATGCTTCAAAAAGCGGCGGTCTCCTCACCGCAATTTGTTTTCAAGTTGTTTCTTTTCTCACTTATCCAAACTCCTACATTTTATTATCTCCTTTTTATATTAAAAAAAAAAAATACAAACTTATTTGAATTCACTAATTAAATTAAGAGAATACTCGACAATACAATAAGACATATTGCGATTTTAATGTTTTATTTTATTATTTGTCTCTGTCGATGTTATAATACGATTTTATGTGTTTTAAAAAAAACAATAATGATTTTATTTTTGAATAAAATATAAATTTGAAAAAATATATATCAATGTTAGTATCAAATCAACTATCTAAAAATTCTCACTTTTTATGTAATTTCTTTAATTTATTTATATTATAATTTAATTTAAGTTTAATAATGAAATAATTTATTTTTGGTTTAATAATATAACATTTTATAAATATAATAATTGAATATTATGTTAGGACTCAATGATTATCCTAATTATATTTAGATTTTTTATATTTAAAATGAGATTTTTATCTTGTATTTGATTATGTTTATGTACAGTTGGTTACACAAATTCAGATATAGAGCTTTAATAAGTTGTACCTACGTACAATCTACTTGTAATCTTGAGTTTTAAGTAATATAAATTAATAAACAGTACTTAATGCATAAAAAATGGTTTTTAAGAATTTTTATCAAATGCTTTATAATATAGTATAGATAATTACTAGTTTCAACTTTCAACTCTTGATCATTTTTCTTCTAAAATCATCAAAATGTCAGTAGGTCTACAAATGACATGTCCATAATTTACGGATAAGTCGAAGTATAAAAAAAAAATCTAAATGAGGTCTGTAATTGAAGACCTATAACTTGCGGACCTGTATCTATTTTACATATTTTTGGTCCCTGTTTTCTTAAAGTATATAATATTTTATATATGACAAATAGAATAAATAAACTCACACACCCTTCTTATTTTTTATGATGTTTGAATTTCTGACTTGCTAGCAAGTCAAAGACGCACATACTGTTAGGCCAATGGTCCTTTGGTAAAAATCCAAAGTTAATGTATGGGGTTGATTTTTTTTAATAAAACATTGCCTCATACTTTTAAAAAGAATTAAAATTTTAGGTTCACAACATTTTATTGTATATATACGACTTTTTAAATTTTATGAAGTTAATTGATAGCCTAAACTGCATCATTATCAAATATCATTTGTCAAAAAAGTCTTGCTTCGTAAAAGAAAAAGTCTGTCTTTTAATAATTTTAAAACATTCTAAATAATTTTATAGTATTCAATGTTCTAATTTTATTTTACATAATTATTAAACAATTATATTTCATTTTATAATATATCATGAATGTCTTTTAATCATTATGATCATTTAATCATTTTGCACCAAACCATTCAACAATTGTCAAATAGCTTCTTAAACCATATATTCGTATAGAAAAATGAATGTTTATCAAAATTAAAACATTTTCAATTGGAACACAACATTTGATGACAAATCACTCTTAACCATTTAATTGGTTCTTCATTAAGTCATGTATGAATAATTGTTTATACAAATAATTGATCTATCTGTATAGATTAATGTTTTTGTTTTCACAGGTTTTTCACACGTAGAAATAGCATGTTTTTTAATTGGAAAATGACACGTATGAGAAAATTTTGACTTGCTACATAAAGGTTCCTCTCCAAGGTTTATTTAACAAGTCATTTTTCATATCATTAAACCAAGACATGCATAACGGATCGAATAAATTCCATTACATTAACCTACTAACAAACACCTACTAACAAACACATCCTTGCTGAATCTCGTGACATATAACGAATATTAACACACTACGAGGCCGTTTACCAAAAAGTTACCCCGATAAACACTTACGAAATCACATTACCTCACTGTATGAATATGATAAAGGACTAAGAATCTTACTCGATAAAAACGAGACAATGATCATAAATCTTACCCGGTAAGTGAGAACGACGACTCTTACCATGATAAGCGCTTACCAAGTGAATTGTTACATACAATGTTGTTTTGATGAATTAAAATTTTACCCGGTAAGTAAATAATAGTGTTACACTTTATTGATAAGTACTTACGAGATAAATATTTGATAAACACCCCTAAGTTTGATATTCAACATTATTTACACCAAATTTTATTTTTTAAACCAATTTTATAAAATTAAGGTAAGAATTGGTATTACCGGTAACGAATATTAATTCACCGGAATTCAATAATTCGATGAGAAGGCAAATGAGACACGTGGTGGACACGTGTTATTCTGCATGCACATATCATCTCTGCGCCTTGCCACTTCGTATGACCACCATTATTTGACTGCTCCAACAACATATAAATTGACGACAACTTTTTATCCTCAAAAAACGATGAAATTAATTAATTTCCTTAATCTAATTATAAGTGCCTTTGGATAATTAGGATGATCTTCAAGGTAATTAAGAAACCATACATCAACAAAAAGATGAATTGATCATTTGTAATGCAAAAAAGGGACGGCCGTGGCTATGGCGGTTTTCCGGTGCATAACCATTCCGATGATTACCACACAAAAAAAGAAAGAACTCGTTATCATACCCCCTACCTACGACATTATTTCTCAGCACGTTCACGATCATGATTCAAACCCCATCTATGGATTCCAAAATGCAACTGCGCCGCAGCGATCAGAAACTCCACCGCCTGCTGCGGTGTCAGTAGCTCCACCACCGCCTTCAATGTCCGCAGCCGCAGCTCATCGGCTTTCTCCACAATCTTCACCAGCCCTTCAATCTTCTTGTCTAGATCCACACATGTCCCACCTATTAACGCACTTGCCTCATCCTGCTATAAACCCACACCAAAAAGCTTAAGAATTTTATATACAAATACGTAGATATATAGACTTGAAATCACGTGAAATTTCAGTGTTATTTTATCATCTCATGGTACTGTGTGTATATATATATATATATATATATATATACATATATATATATATATTAATGGAGGAGGAGTAGAGATATTTGCACGCCTGCCACTCCGACAGCTGATCGGTGATGGCGTTCTCTTGTTGAACAGTTTCACACTGTAACTCACTGACACCGGTGAACTGAGCCGGCGAGAGGTCACCGAGGTCGCCGGTACGGAGACCATGGAGGATGTCAAGGATGCGGGATTCAAAAAGGATGCTGGATTCGGTGTAGATAAGGTGGAAGGCGGTGGTGGGTCGCCATCCAGCGATCCAGTGGAGGGAGCGTTCGAGGGTGGTGGACCAGCGTGCGGAGAAGATGGAAAGAACATCTTGGTTGGCGGCGATGGACTTGACTCGGTAGTACTCGGAGAAGTGGAACATGACTTTGTTGACGAGTTGAGTGAGTTGGTGGTGGTGGTCGTCAGTGCTGGGAGGCCGAGGGGCTTTGGTAAGGTGGTGGATATGGTGGTGGAGCTGGTCGTACCATGTTTCGTAGAATCGTTGGAAATCCATATGTATTTGGGGGTTGGTTATTAAAAGGTGAGGGTGGTCTTGTTTGTGAACACTGCATTTGGTTTATATGGGTCCTGGTTTTACGGTGGGTCGGTGCTCGGAACGACCCATAAGAACCTGTAGAGCCATCCCTACAAGCCTCCTTCTAATCTTTTAAATAAAATATAAATCTATTAAACTAATAAAATATTATTTTACACAAAACTCTGTTAAAAACCAAGGTTCTTGTACAAGAAGTTACAAAATACAAATGACTTATAAGAACTATGTCTTGTAGTAGTTATTACAAGTCACTATAATATAGAGCGACTAGCAAACGAGATCGAGGATCGAATCAAAATCGGGAAAAAAACTCAAACAGAGGCTCGACCCTGCGACTTTCTCCGCGACCAAAGTCGTGTGTTACGTGGGATTCGAAAACATAAGCTCATGCACCTTACCCGTAAGCAAAGGTGGTGTTGTACCCGCATAACCCACTGCTCGTTTCCCACGACCAACTGTACGGCTAATCCCCCGTATGCTTCAGATACCTCCGCGTCTTTTTTCGTTCTCAACACATCTTCTCTTTTATTAATTATCGTTATTCAGAAAAAGGGTTTTTCGTTCTATGAATATCATGCAATAACTTTACAATTTAATTAAATGATATTAATTTAATAACATATAGTCATATGAACTTTACAAGAAAATGTTTTTTTAAATGATTTATCTCGTTTTATTTCTTATAATAACAATCGGTCAAAAGTAAAATGAGTAGAGCATATTTAATCAGAACATCAAATTTAGTGTAATTTATAATAAATGCATTTGATGGTACCAAGATATGTAGGAGGTGAGTTGAGTTGGTGGTTTCGTCAAAAGGTTGTAATAAAAAGAATCATATGATATCATTTACGGAAAAAGACGGAAAACTTTAGAACAATCTCGAGTTTTTTTGGGAAGATGTATTACATTCTACTGTCCTACGACAGTGACAACTAATTAATCTTATAATATAATGGATAATAACATAAACAATGTACACTCAGTTACAATATTGAAGTCTTAAAACATCGTACGTCACTTACATAATTTGAAACTGAAATACTTACAAAATAAAACAACCGAATCACTAAAAGATGACATAAGTGAAATAATGGAACCATACATATATAATTTGACCAAAGTTGATGCAACAACGTAATACAAAGAAATTCTGATGGAAATTTACATCGGTTCACTTAATTGGATGAATATGGCCTTAACAGTTTATAGTATTATCCTCTGATTATATAATACGGGTTGGGTTCACGTGAGACCAAAGGTTTTTCGTGAGACCCGTAAGACCAATTTATGTTCATTGATCAACTTTATAAGCTAATGATCTAATGATCTAAAGTTGGACGGTGACAATTTTGTGATTATTGAGAAGCCTCGTGGCAATTTGATGATCATGAATGTTCAAATTGTAGATCTAATCCAAAGGTTGAGAATTGGTGTTACGAGTCTCATGAAAAACCTTTGGTCTCACATAATCTCAAGTCTATATAATACTAAATGCATATTTAAAACTCGACATGTATATCACACAAAGCCTTTGAACATGTGCAACATAAAACATCTGAACCGATGAGATCTCAATATTAAATTGGGATATAAGGGTTAGGTGGCGTTTGTTTTTTAAGAGGTGCTGAAGTCTGAAGTCTGAATTCACTTCTGATTTTTAAGAGGTTGTGCTGAAGTCTGAAATCTGAATCAGTCAGACTGTTTGTTTTTTGCGTCTGAAATCTGAAGTTTGAAGATGAGAGATCGAGAGTTGATATGGATCGACAGTTGACAAAGTTGAGAGATGAGAGATCGAGACAGAAGAGTTGATCTAGAGAAATTGAGCGCAAAGAGATCAGAGTAGGTAGGCGACAATTTGAAATAAGAGGTAATAAGAGGTTTCACAACCACTTAAATTTTCAGACCTAATAAAAGCTTTTAAGCTCTTAATTGAAAGAAAAAAAACCAAACACATTGAATCCTCTTATGTCTGACCGATTCAAACTTAAGAAGACATTAATAGCTTTTTTATTAAAAACAAACAGCCTCTTAGTCTATCATAGTTGAACTAATCAATATAATAGTTACAGTATGTATCCAAAATATTTATCTGAATTAAAATACTACGTATAAATCACAAGTACCCAAGTCCGTGGGTTTTCAGAATCCCATCTTGTCATTGATCACTTCCAAGAGAAGGTATTTTAATATATTTAATTATTTGTATGAGTTGGATTTCGATGATAATGAAAGTCATCGAGAGAAAGGTAAGAAGAAATATCTACTTTTGATCAATCGTAATTGAATATCAATAGTAATGAGATGTACTGAATCAATTTTTGTATCAAACGCAATTCATAAGGTGAAGGTAAGATTAAAAGTAATCAAGGGTTCAAATTTATTCTTATACTTCTCACATGAACTTTTATTTTCATACGATCCTTGTTTGTGTGTTAGTACACATACTTGTAACTTTTACTTTATTTCAATATAAATTATAGATTTCACTTTCAATAATAATAACTTACATTATTTTTTTAACCTTGATTTATAATAAAAATTTACAACGATAAACAACTAAGGATTTCTATTAACTCTTGTATGATTAAAGTTGTCTATATGAATTAATCTGTCTATATAAATCAGTCTGGTTTTATTTGCGATAGTTTTTTATAGGTAGAAGAAGTGTGTTTTTAATTGAGAGGCGTAAGTTTGAAAATATGTCTTGTTTGTTTTTCATAAAAAAAAAAAAAAAAAAAACTCTTATCAGCCCCTTATGTCCGATTATTTAAGAGGCAAGGTTATTCAGACTGTTTGTTTTTTCTAATTTTTCAGGGACACTTATATCTTATTTTTCTCTTATCTAATAAGAGATAAACCAACCTCTTATTTGTCTTTTATTGTTCTTCAAATCCTCAACAACCGTGTTTCTCAATCGATTAACTTTAATCGATCATTTTTCTCAATCAATCATTATCAAATCAATCATCACCTCTTTCAATTAATGTATTTTAATAAAATGTAAAGTGTTAAACATCGTTAATGATATTTTTTTATTTAAATAAATATTAATCATATCATTAAGAACATGGATAAACCAAGCCTCATTAAACTTAGTAAACCGCTATCAAACAAGTCGTAAGTGATTGAAAACAAGAAGCAGTTTTAAGTTGTTTCAACCATACGTAGAATTCTCTGCACCCTGAGTTTCTGACGAGTGATTCATCTTCTTAAAAATGTTTCTGCGAATTTCAACAACTCCAAAGTCCAGTCGAACCTTAAGATCTGACCACCGGCGAATGCCGTCATTGCCGGCGACTTCCATGTCTTCTTCCTGCAAATATCCATTAGATCGTGTATTTGATGGTCGCGGAACCATACATCATCAAACATTTCAGATATCTCGGTTGTTCTACCGATTTTACTTTTCTGTTACACAATTTGAACGAAACAAATAGGATTAGGAAGATGAAGAATATCAGAATATATGACATCTAAGGTATTTATTCAAGATCGGACCAACACGAATACCAAGACGAACCGCGTTTAATATAACTCGAAAAAGAAATGACACAATTTTCAGTTACCGATACAAATAATAACAAGTTGATCAGAGAAGAAACCATTTCGTGGCAGATGAGATCCATACGAAGCCCTAATTTGAAGTGTACCCTCAACATGAAGTTCTTAATCGACGACTTTCGATGGCTCCTCCAACAATTGCCGGTGCTGTTGATGTCGCAACGTGGACTTCTTTACACCTCTCCACTTGTTGAACACAGCCGTACCAAGGACTGATACAACCAATTATCGGATCAGATTTGATTAATCGAAGGCAATTCTAAATCAATTTACTGATCTTATACATTCATATGGAATTCATAGCTGTAGGAAAAGGAAGAGTGAAGAAGAACCGATTAATTACTTCCGGCACCGACCAAACACAACAGACGCAGAAGCTTTTGACCGTTCTCGTCTCCGGTTGTCATCTCGCTCGCTTCCGACGTGCCCCCAAAAAAGGAAGGTATTATTGGGGATTTGGAATCGATAAGTCGGAATTGTGACTTTATTTACATATTGACCCCTATACTTTTGAAAGTTTTACAATCCTCCCATCTTCTTTTGCTTTTCACAATAAAGTTTGCAAGTCAGCAACTTTTTACATCTATGCCCTCATAGTTTATTATAACTTTCTGGGTCGATTTTTGTCAACACTTTTGGGCTAGGAGGCTTGTGCCGAATTTTGAAGATATTGGTGGACTTGGGCTTAAACTAATGGGCTTCTTTTTGTTAGCCATGGGCCTACTTTTTTTTTTAAAATTGTAAATACATGGCTAGTGTATGCATTAACCTTATTTCATCACTCTCTTTTCTCTCTACGAGTCTTAGAGACCATTTACCTAAACAATTACCCGGTAATCATTAACCGGTAAAATTCAACATTATCGCTTACTTATCGGATAAAATTTAATTCACTAAAACGCATCGTATGCAACAATTTATCTCGGTAAGCGCTAACCATGGTAAGAGTCGTCATCCTCACTTACCGGACATGACTTTCGATTCTTGCATTCGTTATTATCGGGTAAGCTTTTTAGTTTTTACCATATTCATCCGGTAATGTAAACTGACTTGGTAAGTGCTTACCCGGGTAAACGTTTGGTAAACGTCACCTTAGTTAGTAGAGAGAGTTTATGTAATTATCAAAAAATAAATATAACACTTCTAAAAAAATTATGTAAGTTACAAAAAAGTTAAAGTTATACTTATTTTGTTTTACGGATAATAAAAATGTGACAAGTGATTCAAATAAAATATTTAAATGAATTATTAATTGTATTTTTGAAAAAAATTAATTGATTTGTATACATCAGATTGACCAATTTTAGTTTTATTCATATTATACGTAACAACTATTTAAAATCGTAAATTAATGTAGATTTTTTCTAAAATTTGTTTTAATAAATCCAAAATTTATGATTTATATAATATCAGTTTGGAACTCTTTTAATTAACATATTATATTATTTATTTTTTATTTACTATCTTGTTTGTATTAATTAACGTAGTATATTATTAGAAAATTATATTAATTATATTATAAAATGTTGTAAAATTGACTAATTTTTCAAAACGTCTTTTTTTGTTATTTTACACTTTTCATTTAGCTTATCAGCTAGTTTTTACCAAACATTATTTATTCATCAGTTAACTAAATTAAATTAATAACAAGATAAAGGAATAAGTAAATAATTAATTATTGGTAGTAATTAATAAAAAAAAGGTGATTAAATATGAGATCATTTCTTATGTTTTTCACCTTAAGGTAACGTTTGTTTTTTAAGAATTGTTAAGGTTTGAAATCTTATTTCACTTTTGATTTATAAGAGGTGTTGCTGACGTCTGAAATATGAATCAATAAGACCGTTTGTTTTTGTAAACTGATAAACATCTGAATTTACTTAAATTGTCTATTTTACCCATTAAAAAATTATATTGTTGAATTTATAAATAAAATTTATACAATTTCACATATTTATAAATAAAATTTATACAATTTCACATATTTATGCATCATCGTTACGAAATTTACATCTAAACTATAATTAGCATTCATTTCACATATTTAACACATTTAACACATTTAAATTCTATCAAAATACATAAATTCAAAGACGTGATGATTGGTTTGGTAAAGACTGATTGAAAGAAATGATCGATTAAGGTTAATCGATTGAGAAACGTCGTTGTTGAGGGTTTGAAGAACAACAACTTAGCGTTTGGTACGCAAACATAATTGGATAGAATTGAACAGGACATGACAGGACAAGAGGGTCGGACTAGACATGACATAACTGAACATAACAGGAGTATGTCTGGTGTTTGGTACGACTAGCACTGGACATGACAGAACTGAACATAACAGGAGTATGTCTGGTGTTTGGTACGACTAGGACTGGACAAGTTACCCCAAAAGTTATTTGATGATTTTAAATATTATATAATAGTTATAATTAACAGAAATAAAGTAAATAATTAATGAATAAATATTTGTACATAATTTTCATATTTGTACCAAATTTGAATGAAAAATAACTGATGGTAGTAATAGTGGTGGTGGAGGTGGTTTTGGTTATGGTGGTGGCTGACGGTAGTAGTGGAACGGGCGATGGCGGTCGGTGGCCGACAATGGTTATGGAGGTAGAGGTAGAGGCAGTGGTGCTTGGTGGACGACGGTGGTTATAGAAGACATGAATATGGTAGATTGTGGTGGTGGTGGCGGTTGACAACGGTGGAGGAGGTAGTTGTGGTTGATGTAGTGAAAATAGTGGTGGTGGTGGTGGTTATGTAGAGGTGAGGTGGCAATGAATGGTGGTCGTCGTGGAGGTCGTGGAAGAGGTTGTTGCAGTAGAGGGGGAGTTGAAGGTGGCGAACAGCGGTAGTGGTGGTGGCAATGGACGATGGTGGTCAGTGGTCGACTATGATAGAGGTGGCAATGGACTTGGTGGACGGTGGTTGTGGAGGCGCTGGAGGATGTTGTTGTAGTGGAAGGGGAGGTGGAGGTGGCCGTCGGTGACCGCCGATAGTGGTGGCGACGGCTGAAACTAGCAGTGATGACCATTAAAACAATATCATATTAAAGTTATATAACTAGGATAGATTAGTAATTGTTAGTTTCTGTCTCATTTTTGTCCCATCTTGTTCCACCTATTTTGGTGGAACAAGAACTCTTTTGTCTCATGTTGTCCCATCTGTCTCAGTTCTTGTCTCGGTCCCATGTCGCGCCAAACGTGGGACAATGAGTTCTTATTCTGTCGCATGCTACGCCAAACATGGGACAGTGGGTTTTGTTTCGTCCCATCATGTCTCGTCTCATGTACCAAACGCAGCCTAAGAGGCAAACAATAGTTGGTTTACCACTTACCAGATAAAAGAACAATAAGACATAAATGTCTCTACAAAACTAGAAAAAAACAAACGATCTGATTGACCTTACCTCTTAACGAATCAGACATAAGAAACTAATAAGTTTTTTTTAGAAAAAACCTTGACTCTTTTTCTCATTATTCTTCACTGAGAAAATCAATAAATAATAATATATTTAATAATATATAAAAATACATTTAATATCGTATATTTTATCCTTTTCCCACCAGATCTACGGAGGAATCCTTGAACATAGATCCGCACATGAAGGAGCGGGAGGTACGGTTTTGTTGTATGGTCTTGATAAGCCGCCATCCATGTTTGTGTTAATAATTCATTTATATTTAAATGCATGCCTTTGGGTTTTACGTAAATATAACCTATTTATTTATGTATTATAAATTTCTCATCATATAAAACCGGTCTGTTTTTTTTTTTTAATTTATAAGACGATAAAATAACATTTAAACGTTAATAATAAAACATTGTCAAGGGTTCAGCGTTTTTTATACCTTTACAATGTTTTGTTGTAAAAGTTCAGTATTATTTTTGTAGTCTTACACTCTTATGGGTCACATGAAAATAAATTAGTCTCACAAGAACCCATCTCTCTCTTTCTTTCTCTCTATGTGTGTGTATGTGTGTGTGTRTATATATATATATTATATATATATGTATATGACTATAATCAAATAAGAACTAGAAAAATGTTACAAACTCGTAAAAACTTATATAAAAAAATATTATTTTATACGATCTATTTTTATTAAAGGATATGATTTACGTAATTGTTTCATATATGTTTGTGTTCAATTTGTGAATAAAATAAATGAGAAACATTTTTTTATTCATATAGTGAACGAGAAATACACGTTAAAAAGTTTCACACTATTAAATAAATGCATTTGAAACTATCATATATATATACGGTAAATGCAACAAATAAACTCACATATCATCTTCACTCATAATGAGGGTTGAACCTGTGACAACCTAAGAAGCAAGAAGCTCAAATACTGCTAAGCCAAAGTTTGGTTAAATAAATCAAAATTACCACCTCTAAATAATCAAATTAAAAACCATATTTCAGTTCAGATATATCTTTTTAGTTTGTTTTTAAGCAAAAAAAAAAGTATTTCAAAATGTTATGAAATAAAAAAAAATTATTTACATCAATATCCATCTTCTATTATTATTTTTGTTAAACGGTGACAAAATATGATATCTTGTCACAAGCGTGTAATTACCATTTTAGCCTTGTAGTGCCATCATATCTATAAAGCCTCCTCTCTTGGATCACAACATTTGAAGTACAAATTCCACTTGAGATTACAAGAGAAGTAAGAAAGGGAAGATGGAAAATTTAAAGCTTGAAGAAGCAACGAAGAAGGCCGGAGAGAAGTATCGGTCGTTCCTCCATGAAGAATCCGAGAACACTGTTTGGAGACACGGTGGTCCTCCCAATTTTGATGTCGTTAACCAGCTCTTCGAAGAAGGCCGAACCAAGGTTTGATCTGTACCCATATGATATATTGTTATCATTCTTCATTAAATAGACATCTTTGTCTGATGTTTCATGTCTCGTTCTTTTTTGCACGCTTTTTTTTCTCAAGAAAACTAGGTACGACACGTGTTTTTGTCATCGATGACTTGAAAATACAGTACACGTAATTTTTAATCATCCACAGAAGTATTTTGGATCTAGTATTCAGTTTGATGGTATGTGTTGTCATTTTTCAGACAACAAAATATCTTATATGTCATGGTTTCAGATCCCTCTGAATGTCATGGTTTGAATCGTCGTTACGTTTTGTCTCAAAAAACACAATCGAACCTATTGGTGTCCCTCCAAGGTGTTTGGGGATCCTCCTTGGAGATCACATGTTCGACTCCCTCCAAGCCATCGGGAATTTTCCTAGTTGTGTCCTCTAGGGGCTCATGAGATAAGTTGAGGTGTGCGTAAACCGACACGAACACCAGTGGTTAACAAAAAATTGGTGTTTTCTAATTAAATCTCGATACTTGGAAAGACATCTCTATGCATAGCACGTACAATTACCATATGGGTATTCAAGAAAACTGTTGTAGCCCGTTCATCCAGATATAACGTCAAAGAAACATCTTTACACAAACATAAAATTATAACTGTTGTTATGCATGATGCTACTGTCATCTAAATTTTTTACTCTATTTATAGATAAAAGAAAATACATATATTAAACCCAATGTGATAATATTAATCATATATCTTTAGCTTGGAAGCATATATTGTCTTTTAACCGGTTATCATGCTAATATGGCGAGTGATATGGTATTCAACTCAGTATTATTTGTTAATGTGGTTAGTGACACGATTTTTTTTAATATTAATCTGTAACCAGTTACCCGGGTACTTAAATGTTTAAAGTTTTACATCTTATGTACCAAAATGAAAGTTTTGAAAGTATGTTACTCAAAATATGAATCAAGTTAAAATACGTTACCTTTTCATGTAATTTGCTCGAACTGTTAATATGGTTGTAGGTGTGGGAAAAGGGATCAATAGAAGAAACTGTTCAAAATGCAATAAAGTCATGGGAGATGGAGCTGAGCCACAAGATTCGTATTCAAGACTTTAAGACCATCAATCCAGATAAGTTCAAGCTCATTGTCAACGGTAAACCTGTTTTCTAACTGTTTCTAAGTCACACTGTTGATAATTTCATTAAAACTTGGCAATAAGATCTGATAAACATTGAATTAAATGATACTTCAATGCGTAGGTATTGAGTTAAGGAACCACGCACAAAATCCCTACGTAACGTATGTCTGATAAACAAAAAAAAAACACAGCATATAGCAGATTGAATAATCAACATTTGAAACTGTTAAGCTTTCCTTCTTGTTTTTAGAATAATCTTTTCTTGTAAGTATATAGTATTTATATACGATAAATGCAACAAACAAACTCACAAATCATCCTCATATTTTGTGACTGACTTCCTAGTAGGCCAAATCACATAAGACCATATTATAAAATCGACTGATATAAAGAATAAAATGAAATATTAAAATCAAGATTTATCTCGCTGCATTACGCGGGTACCTTTCTAGTTCTTATCAAAAGCGTTTAATTATCTTATCCATTAAAACGTTCTTGAAAATTGAAGTTTTTTATTAATGATTTCTAAATCTAAATACGAGGTTAAAACTTAAACAAGAGTTTCAATATAAAAATAGGTATTTTAAGTTGACTCCTTATTTAAGTTATAAAAGTCAAAGTAAGGGGTGTTTGTGATTGTTTATTTAAAATAACTTTTGTTTTTCTACAAAAATACTTTAACTTATTATAAATCATAAGAGTATAACTTCTTTAAAAACTCCTTATTACCGGTTTGGCACCGACATAAGTTGTTTATCCAAACACTCAAAAGTGTTTATTATCGGTGTCACACTAAAATAAGTTGATAAGTTGTTTTTACAAGCAATCTCAAACACCCCTAAAATGGAAACGGTGAAATTTACGATGAAGTTAAAAAAACAGGGAGGGAGGGGTTATCGGCGGAGGAAACATTGAAGGTGGGGAGTTACAATGCATTGCTCAAGAGTACTCTTCCAGAACAGTACCAGTATTACAAAGCAGAACAAGAGACCTTCGAATCGTCTCACGATGTTTTCCGATCGGCATTTCCTCGTGGATTTGCGTGGGAGGTCATCAGCGTTCATTCCGGACCACCGGTGATATCATACAAGTTCCGGCATTGGGGTTACTTCGAAGGTCCGTTCAAAGGAAATGCTCCTACCGGCGAGATGGTTGAGTTCTTCGGCATGGGCATCCTCAAGGTACTTCTTCTTCGTCTCCTCGATCTGATCGTCGATACAAGTTTTGAACAGAAATCATTTTTCGATTTCCAAACTAAAACGCAATTTTGGATTGAATATGGAAGGTTGATGAATCATTGAGAGCTGAAGATGTTGAGATCTATTACGATCCAGCAGATCTTATCTCGAAGCTACTCAAAGGATCGTTGATCTCAGAACATGAAAACGGTATCGCTGATTCGTCTGCGGCAAACACCGGTAGTTGCCCCTTTCAAAAGCAAGCATGATCCGGTGAGATCTGTTGGCTTTCCGTGATCTTCTAGCGTGTGTGTTTTGTTTCTAGTATCAAATTTGAGCCAATTGAATCCAGATGAACACATATACTTGGATTTAGCGACCTTGATCTTCTGGCATTTTCGATCGAATTTTGAACGGATCGACATGATTAATAATCTGTATCAATGGATCATATGTTGGTGAATAAAGCATATTTAATTTTTAAAATTACCTCTTAATACCTCTTAAGTCTGATTGTGTATTAAAAGCGTTTGTTTTATTTCTAAAATAAGAGCTAAAAGCTCTAAATGTTCTTTAAAATTTGAAGTGATAAATGTATCATTAATGCCTCTTAATCCTAATCCGTCCTCTATTAAATGATTCATATTTTAGGGGATGAAATAGATTTGTTAACAAAAACTTTATCTTTTATATTTTTGTACTAATTTGACTGATTCAAATTTCAGACTTCAGACGTAAAACCAAGCAATCTTACTGATACAAATTTCAGACTTTAGGACCACCTCTTATAAATCAGAAGTGAATTCAGGCTTCAAACTTCAGCACCTCTTAAAAAATAAACGTCACCTAATTTTGTTGCTCGTTTTTCTATCAAATATTTCTTTTGCATCATTTGTCTAGAAAAATCGAACCACTTTCTATTAGTAACTACCACTTGATTTATATTTTATACCAACATTTCGATTCTGAAATCTATAACTTAAACAGTCGCCGCCTTCACTTACCGGGTAAGACTCTGGGTCCTTGTCTCGCTCTTACCGGTAAGATTCTTGATCCTTACCATATTCATCCGGTAACGTAAAATGACTTGATGTTCACTTACCCGAGTAAGCGTTTGGTAAACTACCCCTTAGATAAGGTGGATCTCCATTCTCTTCTCTGTTTTTGTTGCAACGACATCGAATCTATCGACCATTGCTTCATAAATTGTTTGATGACTTTTCAATTGTGAAAGGGTATATTTATTTGGTGGGGGGTAGCGTCTCTCTTCACCGGTATTAATTGTAAAGTTGATTGAGTTTGTCGATTCAGAGGATATAGCAAAGTCAGTGCGGCTTTGGAAGGTCGTAATTTGGACCACTCTTTACTTTATTTGGTGCAATCGTAACAATCAAACTTTCCAGGGGGAACCTAGGCTCCATATTGATCGGCTTTTATGGTACAACTTTTCTTTCCGTTAGGTCTCAAATCATGTGAAAATATTCAACATCTCGTGGGTTTGATTGGTGGGGGGGAAAGTCTTGCTGGTTAGCTCCTTCTTGTCGTTGTGGTTTTCTCGTTATTTTGTTGTTGTTTGATCCTTTTTGAGGGGGTGTTTGGGATTGCTGATTTGAAACGATTTATGTTTTTCTACAAAAACACTTATAAACTTATTATAAGTCGGAAATGTTTAAATTTTTTAAAAACTTCTTATTACCGGTTTAACTTCATATTTTCTCTATTTTATAAAACTAGAAGGGCGCTCACACAATGCAACGAGATTCATTTTCATTTTAATGTTTCGTTTTATTTTTAGTCGCTGTTGATATAGTACAGTTATATGGTTTTGAGAAAAATAATGTTTTTAATTTTGAATAAAAATAAATTTAAAGATATCATTAAAATTTGAAAAAATATATTGATATTAATATCAAATTAACTATTTTAAAAGTTTTTTTTTTACAATTTCTTTAATTCAATTTTTTATTGTAATTTAATTTAAGTCTAATAGCGAAGTAATTTATCATTGGCTTACAATATAATTTTTATAAAAATAATGATTCTGTTAGAACTTAATGATTATTCTAATTATATTTTAAATTTTTTATATTTAAAATGATATGTTTATCCTATATTTGATTATGTTTGTCTACAGATAGTTATACGAATTGAAAAATAGAGTTTTAATAAGTTGTACTTATGCAAAATTTTATTTGTAATCTTAAATTTTAAATAATATGTACTAATAAACAGTACTCCATGTATAAAAAATTGTTTTTAAAAGGTTTTATCAAATGTTTTATAATATAACTAGAAAGGTACTCGCGCAATGCAGTGAGATACATCTTGATTTTAATATTTCATTTTATTCTTTATCTCAGTCGATATTATAATATGGTCTTATGTGATTTTGAAAAAGCGATGATGTTTTTATTTTTAAATAAAATATAAATTTGAAGAGATCATAAAAGTTTGACAAAATATATCGATATTAATATCAAATTAACTATTTAAAATTCCTATATTTTGTGCAATTTTTTAATTCAATTTTTTTATTATAATTTAATTTATGTTCAATAACGAAGTAATTTATATTTGGTTTAATAATATAATTTTTTTATAAAAATAATAATTGATTATTTTGTTAGAATTCGATAATTATCTTAATTATATTTTAGATTTTTATATTTTAAAATGAGATGTTTATTCTTTATCTGATTATATTTATTGACAGTTAGTTACACGAATTCAAACATAGAGCTTTAGTAAGTTGTATTTAAGTAATATACATCAATATATAATACTTCATATATTAAAAATGATTTTTAAGAATTTGTATCAAATATTTTATAAAATAATTTAGATAGTATAGAAAATTTATTAGAGGAAGATAGAATACAAAAAAATCTATTTAAATATTCATCACACTGAAAGCAAGACAACTATTCATTCAGATCCTTTCGCGGAAGCCATGACGTCTCTATTTCCAAAAAATTAGGATAATTTTTTAAAATCATTAAATCTATTCTTTATACAATTTTTTATATACATCAATGCTAATATATATATATATATATATATATATATATATATATATATAGAGGAGTGATCAAATAAAAACCGTCCTCATTTGTGTAAACCGTGCAAACCACCTTCATCCGTCAATTTCATTGTTTAATCTTATGAAATTTTTTCATGAAATTGTTTAATCTTGTGAAATTGTTTCATATAATACTTTTTTTGATGAAGTTGTTTCATATATGGTTGTGAAATTGTTTCATATAATACTTAATGAAACTGTTTCATGTATTTCTCTAAAATTAATGAAACTGTTTCATGTATTTCTCTAAAAATTAAAATAATGAAGATGATAATATCTATGATTCACCCTCCACAATAAAAATGATTGATCAACCTCTCATAATTACAAAAAAAATGAATAAAATGAAAAATTGTGATTGGTTGAATGAAGTTTGCACGGTTTGTACAAATTGAGTGGTTTGCATTTGATCGTTCCCCTATATATATATATATATATATATATATATATATATATATAATATTATAAATTTGACAAAAATTCTTAAAAATCATTCTTTATGTATGAAGTACTGTGTATTAATGCATATTACTTAAAATTTAATATTATAAGTAAATTATACGTAAGTACAATCTATTAAAGCTTAATTTTTGAATTCGTATAACTAAGTGCAGATAAACATAATCAAATACAAGATAAACCTCTCATTTAAAATTTAAAAGATCTAAAATATAATTAGAATACTAATTGAGTTATAACAGAATCATAATTTCTATAAAAAAAATTTATTATTAAGCTAAAAATAAATTACTTTATTTTGACCTAAATTAAAGTATAATTAAAAATTGAATTAAAGAAATTGTACAAAAAAACGAGAACTTTTAAAATAGTTAATTTGATATTAATATCGATATATCTTTTTCAAATTTTTATGACGTCTTCAAATTTATTTTTATTCAAAAGTAAGAACATTATATTTCTCAAAACCACATAAACTTTATTATATCAACAGAAACGAAAAATAAAACGAAACATTAAAATGAAGATGTATCTCGCAACAATTATGCAACAAATACATAAAGCGATAAAATCAAATTTCATATATAACTTTGAAACAATACAATTAAATAAAAGTGAGAATTTATAGGTTATAGACAATGCCATCCGCAACAAAATTTATAGAGTGATTAGGTAATGATGTTGCAAGGCATTTGTGTCAATACCAGCCTACATCTCATCATTCAGACCAACCAACCAATTACTATTAGTCCCGTTTACCAAATGTTTATTCGAATAAGCACTTACCAAGTCATGTTACCTCACCGGATGAATATGATACGAACCAAGAATCTTACCCGGAAAGAGCGAGACAAAGACTAAAAATTTTACTCGGTAAGTGAGGACGACAACTCTTACCACGGTAAGCAAATACCATAACATAAAATTGTACAACAAGATGGACAGTAAAAAGAAAATTAATCAAATCAAAAAGCAGCAGGATGCAAATTGTGGGGACTTATTTTTCCTGGAGTCATCAATATATATATGGTTGAATGAATGTTTTGCTTTAATACAACATACAAACTCATTCCTAGTCCTACCCTACCAACAAATAATACACATTTTTTCATTTAAATATATGTTTCCGATTCAACGCCTTGCCGGCTTTCGTCCACAAGGGCCAACGTCAACATTTCCGTGCAGAACTGATCGTCCGGGTTAATCCATAACGCCTGCTCATATCATATCAAACCATTTACTACTTGCAAATACAAAACATATATATTATATCATTACCTACGATTCTTCGTAACTTACCTTGTGATAGCATGTAATTGCAGCAGTATAATTATCCTGTCAAAAACACAAATTTCAAAATTGGATTCCGTAAAAATAATAAACAACTGCTCTACTTGTAGATCAGATCCCCCTAGACCCTGCTTTCAAGTGGAATATGCTGGGTCATTTGGTTTGGTTATCTTTTAGGATCCTTTGTGATAGAATGGTTGACTGGCATCCTGACCTATATAAGCAAACCAGACCAACCGAGCCCTGTATATCCCAACAGGTGGGGTCTGTGGGCTAAAATGTAGACGACCTAACCTGACCTCTATATCAACAGTAAGAGCATCTCCAACAGATTCTCCAAAGTGGAGGATGAAACTTCAAAATCTCTAAAAACAAAAATATATTCAACTCCAACAGATACTTCATTTTGGAATAAAGTATTATTTCTCTCTAATTATTTATTTTCAAAGTTTCCTATTGGTGGAAAAATATTAAAAAGTATTTCTCTCATTGTAATCATTTTTGGGATGTTCTCTAAATTTTGAGATTTTTACACTCTCTCCTACTTTCTCCACTTTGGAGAAAGGTTTTGGAGAATCTGTTGGATAAAAAAAAACATGCCCAAAATCCCTATTTTCTCCATTTTGGAGAATTTGTTGGAGATGCTCTAAGGCAACTGTTTGCATGAAAGACCATCGGCTTGTGCAAAACATACAAAAGAGAGAAATGCATATAAGATATAATTTGAATAATTTAAGCAGAAACCTATAATTTAGTAAGGCCACAATGTTACCTGCAGATGGTATGTGTATGCTAAACCAGCATATGTGCTTAAGCTTCTTGTCGACAGCGCAAGGGCCTTTTCATAATACGTGATTGCTTCACTGTACCTCCTGATTCGAAAATACATCACAACAACTATAAGTTCAACAGTCATAAAGCCTAAAAGTTAGGAAACAAAAAAGTGTGCATACTTTAATTTTCTTAAAGAATGAGCAAGATTAACGACGGTTGATTCCCACATCTCATTTAATGGCGATGGCATGTGAGCCAAAGTCTTTTCGAACCACCATACTGCCTTTTTATACCTAAAAAGTTTTACATTAGTTTGTTGGTTAATAAGGGAAGAGGATAATATAATGGCTACCAAACATCCAATTATTAAAAGCAGAAATAAAGAAAGAAGATATAAAGGATGCTCACTGTTTCATATGATATGCAACAACTCCAAGTTCATTATATACAAGTGGATCCGACGGGCAAATGGCCTTTGCCTGCATGAAAAACTGAACAGATACCAGATAAGAACTCATATTAGGTTCTCCATCATTTAAAAACCCACACACCCAAGGAAAACCAATAACAAGCCAAAGTGAGGAAGATTATTATAGGCGTTAATTGACGGGTTGCAATGAGAATGAGAGTTAATTGTGAGAAGGGTAAGAAGGGATCTCCACCCTTAGATCAATCCTAATTGAAAAGTTCCACTAGATCAACACTAATGAGAAGCACCCGATCAATTCCCATAAGCGCAATTGATGGGCTGGTTTGAGATTAAAGCGATCAAGGGTCCAAATCCCTTCTTACACTTCTTACCTTAACTCCTATTCTCACACAATCCTTCGTCTTAATTGGCAATGTCATATAGTACCTGATCAGCAAGTTTAAAGCTGTGTGTACGCATGTACTCCATTCCAATATACAAAGTAGGTAAATGACACCTGTGAAAAGAAAACATCAAGATTTAGCCTCTAACTGAAAATACATAATTCACTTATGAATATATGATGATGCAAGTCAAGACCACAAAGGCATGATTTAACAATTGGTGTGCAGAATGTTTTCTGAAGAAATGGAATTTGTTAAAGGAATTTGACTTTGAAGGAATTGGAATGGAATTAGAGTTTTACATTCTATGTTCTCTCTTCAAGTCACTAAGAAGCAAGGATTCACACATTTACACCAAATAGCAACCAGTAAAGTTCCACTTAACGAAAGGAAGAATGTGAATGAATGGGATATTAGAGCTTTCAGCTTTGGAATTTCCCTCATGCTATCCTCCTTTCTAAAGGAATTTAATTATTAACTGCAAGTTGTGAAACATATACTCACAAGCAAGAGTAGCGTTTGCTTTCACATAGAAGAAAAGAATGAAGAAAAAGTTGCATTACCCAGGAAATAAACGAGCAGCAGTGCGATAACCTGACATAGCTTGGTCACCTTCTTCTTTGGCTGCATAAGCATTTCCATACCCTATCCAACCAGGAGCAAACGTTCCATCTAGGCTAGTGGCCTTGCTGTCAAAGAAAAAGATAGCCAGCGTCATTAAATTGAGTACAGAGCAACTGGTTATGAATAAAATCAAATAAAACACCCGGCCAACCAATAATCAAATCATAAGCAAAAGAAATGCAATGCTTAATTCACAGCTAGCATTTGGTATCTCTGCATGACAACTGAAGAGCAAATAAAAAGTTTTAGCCTGAGCGTCCAAAAGAGGGCCATAGATAGACAGGTATAGGTAAGAACTAATTCCTTCTATGATTCTTGTCCACTAAATGAGCAATGAGCTTATGACAGTTCATTGGACTAATTCTTATTATAAACACAAAAGTTTGCTCATTGGTTGACGGGGAATACAACACAAAGATGAACATATTAGCAGGCAGCAAAAAAAAGAACACTGTATTACCTGAAATAACGACGTGACTGATCATACTTCTTGATACAATAGTAGTAGCAACCAACAGAAAACCATGATATCGCCCTTGTGGAAAGCAAATAATAGCAAAAAGCACCGGTGAGTCATTTCGTCACAACTATTGTATATCTATAATAAAAAGGAAAGCAACATGCTAATTGCATCGCCACGGTTAATATAAAAGTACGCTGAAACTGAAATTGATGAATAGAAACGACTGCTGTGCTCAAACTGATTCCAAGTTTGACATCAGGTGTAACATCATTTGCAAGCAAGTAATACAAAATTATAGCATGAATCATTCATCAGAGATGTAATGATAAGAATTTGTAGAGATGTGGGACTAGGGTAGTAGATTTTGTGTAAGGACTTGTAGTTTGTGGTCAGGGAGGGATAGAAGAAGAGGACGGGACGGGGGAGGGTTGGAGAGCAGATAGCCAAGTGTTGGAGTTCTAGAACAGGTAGTGGGGGGTCTTTGAGGGCAGCCTTGAGTAGCTTTGGTGCGAGTTTAGCCAGATTGGGGATTTCGATTACCTTGCGTCTTAGGTAGATTAGATGTCTAGTTCTCCTCCTTACGTTTTCAACACTCTTGTTCAATCCTTTCTCATGTTGTTTAATGTGCACACTAGCTCTAACCGCTCTACTTGCTCTTCATTTAACTCTTCTTAACTTAGTTTCTTGTTTTTGACTAATTTTTGTGATAGCTTAAAATTCCAAAAAAAAATTGCAAAAACTTCTTTGCAAAGATTATTTTTCCGCTAACAGGGTTTCTTCACAGGAACACCCTCTTTACCTCCTGGGTTAGAGGATTGATCGGCATACATTTTATGATCCCCGGATCCTACTCATGTGAAATTTATTAGGTTCGTTTGGTTTGAATTAATGCATTTTAAATATATATTAAGATCACCAAAGCGTGTTTTAAAGCAATCCTTCCATAAATGTCCTTATCCTAATCCTAATATAGCTGCAGTCTTATAGCTACTCGCAATAACGAACAGGATTTCCTTGGTGTACACGATATCACCTTGTCTTCAATTTTTCCCTGTAGATGACATCTTCACATATTTGTCCCTTGTGAACATTATCTATAATGCAAGTGATGGACTTATGGCCATGAAAAACTTATTAGCATTTAAGACAAAACAAATGCAAGAAACATATATTTTCATAAATTATAACTTGATAAAAGAAAGAAAAATGATGTGCATGATGAACCTAACAAGCTTACAGAGTTTTCTTACTTTTGAGGATAGTCCTTGACTAAGTTGCAAGCCATGAGATAAAGTTCATTTGAGTGTCCAAGCTCCATTGCAGCTGCTATATGAACCATGGTACTTTTAAGATGGAATGGATCCTTCTCAAGCAATCTGGGTGACCAAACCATGATGCAAATATTCAAGAACCATTAGATCAAGGGGTATCAGGTACAATTAGTTATATCCTTTTCTGTCAGATATGGGTTAACTTACACTGAAGTCAATTCAAAGCATTTTTGGTATTCACCACATTGATGGTAGTATTCAGCTTTGCATGCCAAAAGATCTGTGTTGTTTTTTAGTGTACAAATCAGGTTCTGGTTTGACGGTTTTATGCTAATATCTTCTTGCTCAAGTTCATTGAATTTCTCTTCAACAACACTTGCTTTATCATACTGAACAAAAAGAAAGATGAGAAAGAGAATGAGTGACATCACAAGATAAGACGGCACTGTATTAGAAAGTGTAATATGTATCATTTGTATACAACAAATATCACATATGCATTCTGAATTTACAGATACCTTTTTTATTAAACATGAATAGAATGAAGAAAGCCAGCCATCTTCTTGAGCAAACTGCAGAGATGAAAGAAGACTTTTCTCTGAAATTCAATAACAAATCAAACAATGACATGGTGACCACTGTGATATAAACAATGTATTCATGCAAATAAAATATAAATGAATGTTTAGATGCATACAGCCTGTTCTAAGGAGACAATGAACATTTAAAAAAAATCAGATGGCCTCAGTAGGATGACATCAAGATAAATAATCTAGATCAAGTGCAAATGAGCTACCTTCTTCACATGTTAGCATGTGATTCTCAGTAAGACATTCCAGGGCCTGAAAAAAAAAGCACAAAGACATATAAGTATTTCAGAATATGTTGTACAAAAGTGGAACATATCAAACAGCCAAGTACTGGTAAAGGAAACCAAGCTAACAATACTCATATTTCTTTGTGGAGAAAGGAACCACAAAGTTTCCAAAGCATATAATTGTAACATGTAAGCAAGCTCTTGAGACATAAAAAGTTACGGTATTAAGGAAATGCTAAATTTTCCATCCCTTGCTAGAGTACAGGTTGCTTGAGACAACTAAAACTATAGCCAGACATAAAGATGGCACATGGTGTCCATAGGAGTCAAAACAGTGATGATGTTGAATGGTAAGTAACTAACTACAAAACAAGAAAGATGATGGTTTACACAAACTTGCAACTGCATATGGTAGTGCTTACCTCATAGCATAAAGGATCAGCTCTAATTGCAGCCTTGTACCTAGAGCATCATAAGTAGAGTAAGATATTCTAAATTAGACAGTTACTCTCCAAAAAAACAAAAGACTGGATAAAAAGACGAGAAAAATGTTGGTACATCAAAATTTGATTTTCAACAGTTTGCAACTTTACCCTGGTTTTTGTGCAACATTTAATCCTCATGTATAATGTATCATTGCCTCTGTAGATATACACACACACACACTCATATATATAAGAACAATCCTAAAATCCTAGAAGGTGAAACAAAGAAAGAAGCAAGAGCATGGATTTATCAACACTGTATTCCTATTCCTGTGAAGTTAATCATTTGATTATAACTACATCCTCAAAGCATGAGACAATGGCTGAAACACTCATGGATTCCACAACATTACAAATTCAACTGTAACCCTTTATCCCCTGTTCACTATTGTGTTCCTCCCCCCCCCCCTTCTGACAACATAAAACACAGCTCGGAGATTATATCATATTCTCTGAAACCCATAAGTCTTTCCTGTCTGGACTTGAACAAAAGTTTTATGTACGACCATCTAGATTACTAGATTATACAAGCGTTTATTAGCATATACAAAGGTAACAACTCATACAGCTGAAACATCCTAATAAAGGATGTAACTACTATTTCCAGTCCTCAATAAGATGGAATTCATCACTTCAAACCAATACCTTTTTTTCTTTCAAATATCAAACATTGCAACTCTTACAAGGGTCCTGCAGGACATTGGTGACTTCTACGTGAAATTAAGCCAAATAGATACCTCTACCAGGTTTAACTAAGAGTACAAAATAAGTGTACAAGTAAAGTCATATCGAAACATAATTGTGTTACGAATCCACATTGCAACATGTTGAAACTAACCACTGTCGTGCCTGAGAACGATTCTCCAGAGCTTCATATGCCTTGCCTCTAAGAAAACATATTGCTGATGATATCTGTAAGATGATAGATGTATGAGTTCTTGGCAATCAGAACTAGCAATTACATTTTATGCGCAAGAAAAAATGAATGAAAGAACAAGAGAATGAATATAGGAGATTTAAAAAAAAATCAAGTTGTTCTATTAGTAAAAATCATAGAAAAAAAGAAGGCAGCAATTTTGTGCTCAAAAGAAATTACAATGAAGAGATTCAAACTCATGAGCAATATAAAATACTTAAGCAGTGATGCATGACATTACTTTTTCTGGATAAAGGGACATTAAAAGTATTAGAACACTCATTCCTAGCTTGGTTCCTCTTTCTTCTCTCATACCTAAAGAAGCATGTATCATTAATTTTCTGATCAACATAGTCATGCTGATCGCTAATTGTCCAGATATTATGAGAACTCAAGTTCATGATATCAATTTATTCTACACATCTTTACAGTAGATAACTAGCATAAATACCATTGACTGACAACTCAACAAACATACTGAAGAAAGAAATCTTTTGGCCTGTTTACATCACATGAAACAACTCAAGCAAAGTTGTCGGGCTCGGACCAAATAAAGAAAACAAATACTATCTAATACACCCAAGCTAAGTGAAGGTGGAGCCTAACACCAAGACACTTCTATCTGAGGAACTGCAGAAAGTGCTTCAGAAAATCGCAATAGTTTTTTTCTAGGACAGTACAAGCTTAAATAGAAAATCTTGTCTTAATCAATTATTCCCCTTTCCATTTTAAAGGTCTTTGAAACTAAACAGTACAATACATTAATAAATTTTCAATATACTGGCTTTCCTCCTTGATATGATTTAGTATATCACTTCCCAAAACCGAATAAAATTGAAAGATATGGACTTAAAATTAGAGTGAACTGCAAATAGAAAATTACATTAATTTCACGATCTTCGCTATCTTTATCCAGGTACATGACATTAGAATCCTTGGTATCACTAAAATTTCCATGTTCATCCACCTTAGCTTCTCCAAGCATTAGCAAACACTGATCCCACTCCTTCAGTTCCTCCTGATCAGACACATTCAAAAAAATCAATATTGATCAGCCAACCACTACCACATAAGCACATAACAGAAGCACCGTCATAGACAATACTTCGCTCATGGTCTTGATTAGTGTGAAAGGTTGAAATGTTGGCACCCAATTTTGCAACAGAACGATACAATGATCCAAAAAGAATCACATCTTCAATTTTGAAGTCTAAAAAACAACAAATTAGTAAAACTTGGTAAGAAATTTAAACTGAAAACGAGAAATTTATAGGTTCAAGAAGCACAAGATTGATGTTGACTACTAGTAACTAACACAAAATACTCCTAGTCTGAAATTTTGATTTTCTAGTGAGGTACACAGGAGTGATTTTTTCCATTTTTGAATGAGAAACTTCCAAAGTAAAGAAGAAATCCAAACCCAAAACGCAGTAAAATAAACTTGAATCAAATAAAAATATGATGAATTGGGGCAAGAAGAGTATACTGACGAGGCATTTGGCGGCCAGATAACGAAAACGAAGATCACGGAGGACGATCTGAGATGCATTGAGAAGGTGGAAAGCACGACGGTAATGACGACCAAGAAATAGGGCTTGTGCTTGCATATAGATATCGGCGGGATCGGAAGTGAAGGCGACGACCTTGTCGGCGAAGAAGATCGCCGACGAGTATAGATGCTTGCTAACGCAATCTCTAACCACTCCTCTCAACTTCTCGATTTCTTCTTCCCTCATCTTCTCCCCACTTCCTTTTTCAAAATTTTCAAATCTTCAGAGGGTTTGGGGGAGTGAGTGAGTGAGTGTTTTTTATGCAGAAAGGAAAAAAGCGGGAGGCGAATTTCTTGGTTTTCAGGGTAAGGTCCGTTAAGTGCCGGGCTATTTGGCCCATTTAGCAATTATTGGGCCATTCAACCCCATCTTTCAAATAAATAAAGAATATTATGTTTATTTGTCACCCCATCATCCACGTAGGCTGTCAACATGTATGATAGTGCTGACATGACATTTCTTATTATTGCATTGTACTTTCAAAATTATTTTATTATAACATTATCAATTTCTATTACAACATTATCAATTTCTATTACAACATTGTACTTTCAGTTGCTTAATGGATTGGTGCAAGATGATTAAGTGATCAAAATGTTTAAGAGACTCTTATGATATAGTGCAAAATGGAATATGGTTGTTTGATAATTGTTCAGGCGCTCAATGGTTTAGGGGGCCAAGATAAAAAAATCATTTAGAAGGTTTTAAAACCATTAAGAAGCATTTTTTTTTGCCAAACAAATGAACAATATTCACTTCTAACAATTAAAAAATATCTCTTAATAAAATTATTAAAAATTAAATAAATATCCCTTAATAATGGAGTACAACAAAATAAAAACCACAAGAATGTTTTATAAATTTATGATAAATTGCATGAAAAAGTAACGTACTTTAATTTGATTCCTATTTTGAGTAACGTACTTTCAAAACTTTCATTTTTGTACTTAAGATGTAAAGTTTTAAACATTTAAGTACCCATGTAACCGGTGGAAGCGTTAACTGATTATTATGCTAATTGGCGAGTGATGTGGTATATAACTCAATATTATTTGCTGACGTAGTTAATAACATAGATTTTTTTAATCTAAAATTAGTTTTTTTTTAATTCTAAAATTAATTTTCAACCGGTTACCGGATATTTAATATTCAAAATTTTACATCTTAAATACTAAAATAAAAGTTTTAAAAACACATTACTCTAAATAAAAATCAAATTAAAATGCGTTAATTTTTTATATAATTTACCTATAAATTTATCATATTGAGATCCCACCTATAGAATTTTCGCTAGGGCCCACGCAGGTATTGAAACGAAAAATGCGCTTCGGAGTTCGGACCCACCCAAGTATCGTTTCAAAATGCATTTCGGGGCCCACCCAAGTATTTGAAACTTGGATGGTATCATGTTTTAAGCATAACGTACAACACATCCTCCATTGCTGCCTGCTCTGCCAAAAGTTTGAAGAGGATTCCGTCCCTCTTTCTGCAGATTCTATTTGTGGCTGTCTTTTTGTTATTTGCTGATTCCTTCATGTTCCTTGCTTTTTTTATGATACCTGGTTCTTTTGGAGCTCTCTTTTGTTTTTGTTTTTGTTTTTTTTTTCTGCTTTTAATCTTGAAATTTGTTTCCAATAATAGCAATGAGAATAAAACCTGTTCAAGATTGGTTGCACGAAAAGTGTTCGACGAAATGCTTCAAAGAGAACTCCGACAAATTCAACTACGTTAAGGACTCTAAAATACACATTACCTTTGAATATGAACCATTACCATGACCATTGGTTCAAAAATCACATTTTGCAAGTTCTTTAAAACATGGGATAATCTGATTTATAGACCATATGATACGTGATCCCACCTTATTTAGAATCTTGGTTGCCATATATATACACTAAATCTGCTTTCTTTATTTATATTCATTTTTTCAAGATAGTAAACATCAATTTCTGACTTCTTTTGTGTTTCCATGGATTAGGCTACACATCAAAATATGCCAGCACGTTTTTCTTGAGCATCTTGGACGGCAGGCTATGCAATGCCGGCTAAAACTAGTAAAAAGAGCAGGTACATTATCACTTTAAAATATCCCTTTTTGTTGATTCTAAAATAACCCCGTTATTTGAACAGTTTTATATAAATTTTGTCTCACATACATCTGCATCAGATGTCAATTTTTATATTTTCAGTGTTATGATTTAACCTCGAAAAGGTCCAAATAGCAACACCCATATACGTTTGGACTAGAGCGGCCAGATCCAATGAATTATGATAATGCATCAATAGAAAGATGACGAAAATTTCCACACCTTAAGCATGTTTTTGAGTCTTGGTAAACAAAAATGTTTGGAAAAATACTAAGAAAAGATGCCCTTCCATGTAATCCAACCTTTTTTCCCTTAAAATATGGAAAGTCAATCTTAGTTGCCAAACTCTTGATAGGGAAATGCATACAAATCTCACTTTGCAGTCCTTATTAATAAATCTGACTTTCAGGTGGAATAAAAATAGAAGTGTCCCCTGAAATAATTCCGACCATTGACCCTAAATAATATATAAGCTAGTTGTGTATCCGTGTGCGATGCAATTTGATAAAATATATATTGTAAGTTGGGGATGAAAAGTGAACGTAATTACACATTAAAAATATCCGATATATATATATATATACATACGAACAAAATAAAAATTACAATAATTTGTAATCGTACACAGCTGTAGCATTTATGTTTATAACCAAAGCATTGAACTCCTTTTATAGGCATGAAACACAATTAACCTTTTGTTTCTCTTTTTTATTTTAGCCAAAAATTCATCACAAACCATAACTCTTGTTGCATTAGTGATCTGTACCTAATGCTCAATTAATGCTATATTATTGAAATTTAAGAGTATTACTTAATTGTTTCCTAAGATCCCTCTCTTGACAAGATGTTGATCAACATGAATTTATTTAGAACAAGTTAACATCTCACTAAATTTATTTAATGTTTGACTAATTTCCTTGTCTACTTTGTCTTGTTAGTTTGTCCTTAACAATACAGATTATCCCTTTAATTACTATCCTATTCCGTCAGCATTAGCCCTGGTCAAGTTTCACATTCTCAATTCCCTCCTTCAAAATTCTTAAATTTGAGTCCATTGTCAGCCAGACTTGAACCATTTCTTCTTCATACATGTCAGCACCTCTTTCTCTCTCCAAGGGCTTTTTTCGGAAAGTAGTATAATAGGGTTCCACATATTCTTACTCTTACATGGTATCAGAGTCAACATTGGGACTAGACACTCCGAAGCATTTGTGCCCTTTTAGCCTCTATTGGAGGGCGTGTGTTAGAGTCTCACATCAGCTAGACAATTGTCGAGACAACCCCAATAATTGTCTTGGCAACATTATAAGTTTTAAAGATTCAAACTCAATACCTCTAAATTACTTTGAACAAGTAGTAAATTCAATGATTCTACTCAAACAATATCATTCCTAGAATATATATATATATATATAGAGAGAGAGAGAGAGAGAGAGAGAGAAAGAGAGGAGGGAGGTTCAGGGGAAAACCCCAAAAAAATGAAAACCTAATGAACACCTTGGTAATCATTCATCCGGACAATATGCACATGTGTGTGCAAGTAATTGAAGTTGTCTCTTGGTTTTTATGCATGTGTACATACAGGAGAAATTGCTTATAAATTACTTGTATGCATATGTGCATACCATCCAGATTAATGGTTAACATTGTGTTTATCAGTTTATCATTTTTTTGGTGGTTTTCTCTGCCCCTTTATACATATATATATAAATGTAGTTCCAGAAGAATTCATCTCATCGAGACATGACCTTTAAGAAGTATAGCATAATTGGTGCCACTATAAACTCGGAGTTCTCCACCCCATGTAGTGATGGAATGGAGGAAGTACAATCTAACTAAAACACTATCAATCAAGTCTATTTTTTTGCGTGTACACCAACTTAAGTAACTGTAGATGATTTGTCTGTTCCTTATTTAACTTTAATTTGTCTCACCCATCTTTACCCCTATGCATCAAACACTTGTACTCTATGCATATTTGATAGTATAAACTGTTTTTTTGTATGCCACTAGTTCTTGTAGTCCACATTCCAGTACTGTTGGAATCAACAGTAAAAGAAGAAAAGAAGATCCAAATTACAACTCCTTGCCGGCTGCTTAGTTCATATGGACCTACCCAACTTCCACAAAAGCCTCTACTAATCACACTTTTTTATAACAAAGACTTCCAAACCTTTGACCTTGTATACAGTCAGTTAATATATATATATATACACACACATATATATAGCATGCAATGCATAACCTAATTCAAACAACCCAAAAGCTCACCCAACAGTTTTCTTTAACCTCTTCGTTCCAAGGTTGTCGATCTCTGATCGTAATCAGTCATCAAATGGCTCGCCTATCGTTCCTCACACTGGTTATGAATCTTATGATTGTGGTGTTAATATGTTATGCATCATGTTTAGATGCAAGAAAACTGTTGAACCAGAAGGGATTGTTTATGGAGGGTGCCACTACACCCCTAACTGCTTTGAGTGAAAAGCTATTTGCTCTTCACCTTGGCCATATCGATCGGATTTTGCAGTCTGTACCTAGTCCTGGTGCTGGTCATTAAACTCCCACCAGTTGTCAGGCTTGCAGAAAGTTATATATAGATATAAGATATATTTATTTGCTATATATGAATACATTATATATAGGATAGTGTTTAGAATTGGATACAATTTGGGTTGATTTGATCATAGATCAAACACTTAGTACTGGTTATAAAGAAGCAATCTGTGTTTGTTAACTTTTGAGTTTTTGTGTTGGGAGGGTTGAAATGAAGCTGAAAGCAATAGTATGATGTATGATGAATATAATGAAATACAACTGAAAATAGTTTAAACTTGCTCATAATGGTTTAAAGATACCCTGTTTCTATGCTCAATGTGCCCCTCTCTCCGAATAAGTGTTTAGTTACTCGGTAAGAGGTTGTAACGTAGGGGTGTTCATCTAAACTGTAGTGCAAATACCCCTAACCGTAGTCATTCACTGCTATGAACTACGAAACCATGTATAAACTCTCATTTTGTTTCGTTTCCCGCCTATGTGGGGCGATGCACGTCATGCACTTCATTTCCGATGCTCGTTCCATTTGCAACATTTTCGTCA